AGTAAAAGTGAAGAAACCAAACATATGAGGGCACATGCTGGTAGTTGAATATGAATATATAATATAAATATGTCTATTTAATGGTAAGTCTATGACAGTTTTCTTTTCATCGTTTCAGGGTAGTGGCCAACACAGTCATTAACTATGAACAAGAATCAGTGGGAGGTTTGAAAAGAGAAAAGAAAATGTGAATTATGGTCTCTAGTAGAGTGGAAGAGTGAATATACTAAAGAAATGTATGATTGCCAAGCAGAATTAAGGGCACGCTTTATGTTTGCGATTATGGATTTAAAGTGGGATCTGTCAGTATGATTTTATGTATTTATCCAGACATATTCAACTACATGGGTGCTGACATTGAGTTAGCTATAGAGTTAGATTTAGCTAAAATTATGGTTTTGCCAAACTATAATGAGGCAGAAAAGAGCTAAGGCATTAAAGGTGTATGCAAGTGAGTAATTATAATACTTGATTGTGTAATTTAAGCTGGGTAGATAAGAAAGAGAACCTTTCAGTGCAGTGAGGTACAGTAAAACCAGATAGGGTTAGTGGGTTGGGAGATCTTGTTGGGGTTGAGTTGTTGGAGGGAGTGAGCAGGAAAGTTGAGCGAGTGCTTAGAGAGTGTAGGATTTGAAATGAAGGGAGGACTGTAATTACTGATATTGATAAAATCTAGTATGTGGAAATGAGCAGCTGAGATAAAGTGGAGGATAAGTTCCTTGGGAGAGAGAAGTTAAAGGTATTGAGAGGCCAGGTTATTAGAAGTATCCTCTATGGGTGTATTAAAATCCTGAAGAATTAGGAGAATACTGGAGAGAAGGTTAGTAAACCAGAAACCAGAATTATCTAGCAGTCAGATGTGATGAGCTGGGGGTGAGTTGATTACAGTGACAGTAAGAGGTAGTGGGAGATATAACCTTGTAAACATGAAAAGCAAAACTGGGTGAGTGTGTAGAGATGGCAGTGGGGTTCCCCTGTCCCGCTTCCAGGGCCACTGGAGGGTGAGCAGGTGGAGGGTAAAGGGCACCACTGTAGAGCTGGTGGGAAAGTGGAGTCGGGAGCTGGGTTTCCATCGGAGCTGGGTTGGCAAGCTACAGCCCACAGGCCAAATCTGGCCTACCATCTGTTTTTGGATGGCTTATGAGCTATGAATGGTTTTTATATTTTTAAAAATAATTTATAGAACATCAAAAGATTAGTAATATTTCACGATACATGAAAATTATATGGATTTCAGGGTCCATAAGTAAAGTTTTATTGGGACATAGCTATGCTCATTCTTTTCTGTATTGTCTGTGATTACTTTTCTGCTACAGGACAAGTTGGAAAGTTGAGTGGTGACAGAAATCATACGTGACCTCTTCACTGCTTCACACCATTGCTCAGCACACTGTAAATCACAGTGCTGCAGTTATAACTCAGTAGCATTCCATGTGTATCACCATACCACAGCATTTTATTTTTTCCCCCATTGTCAGTGCATGCCCATCATGTCAGAACAAAAAAGGAAAAGAAAAGTGAACTTGAATGTTGTTACTTTGCACCACAGTGAAGTGTGGATTATTTCTTCAAGTTAGAGGGTGAAGCGTTGTGTTACTACACAGTGACACTGTGGCTGTGCTGAAAGGGTGCAGTGGGCATTGACAGGAGCAGAACAAGCACTCACCATAACATTCCCAACTCACAGGAAAGTAACAGTAAGAAAAGCCTGGAAAATTTAAAAGAGAATATCCCATCACAGCAGAATTTTCTTTACAAAATAAAGGAAGAAAATGATGTTAGGACCTTATGTAAGTTTACAAGTGGCTTATTTGTTAGCCACACAGAGCTGTTTGCTGATCGATCGTGAGTGCAGCAGCAGAGGAAACGTGTATAGAGAGAGTAACTTAAGACTGTTAGCTTCTTGGCAAGAACAGTAGTTGCTCAAAGCGTCAAGACTGTTGGGAGCAGCAGCAATAGACAGTGTAAAAGCAAGATAATTTTGAGTGATTTTCCTTGACTCTTACTTATGTGAGCGATCAGTGCTGAGTTTGAAGTGACTAAAGATTTAACCTCTGTGTATAGTCTGCATGGAACAAGTACAGGCAAGATAGTTGAGGAAACAGTGAGTACGACTTGAAGTGGGGTCTGCTGAGACGTGTGACCAGGATGGTAGTTAAAATTGTGTGAGGTGCAGGAAATGGCTTAGTTGAACTAACAGATCTTGTGAAAACACAAGATGTTTAAAATTTAAAGCCTGCAGTTTGTATTATACATCAGCAAGTACTTTTTGGAAAGTATTTGGATCTATCATGTGTTACTGAACCACGGTATCAGTGGTAAACCTTATTCAGTCTTGTGGACTTACACATTAACAATTCTGTACATTTTTGACAGTAATTGAAGCTGAATATTTCCATTTATCTTTGCATGCAGCAAGTCAGTGTCTTAGCAGTGGTAACATTTCATTGTGATTGTTTATGGATTTGTGTACCTCCCAAATCTGTCTGTCGAATCCCTCGCCCCTTGGTATAACTGTATTTGGAGATAGGGCCAAACAAGAGGCAGTTCAGGTTGAATGAGATCATAAAGGTGGGACTCTGATAAAATGGGATCGGTGACAGGGTTAGTGTCCTCACCTGCCCAGCACACAAGATGTCCTGTGAGCACACAGAGATGCCGGATACCAGCAAGCCAGAAAGAGAAATCTCACCAGAAACCAAACTCCCTGGCCCCTGATCTTGGCCTTTGAGCCTTTAGAACCAGGAGAAAACTAATGTCTGTTTAAGCCACCCAGTCTGTGATATTTTGCGTGGTAGGAAGAACTGACCAAAATGAAGATTTTTCTTGATGAAGAGAACCACTCCCAATTGTCATTGAATTACCATTGAACACTGACTTTGGACATCAGTTTTTGCTTTAACCTAAAACTGAAATGTAATGAAGTCATTTTGACAACTAATATTGTCTGAATCACAAGTAATGTTGAGCAGCTTTGTAAGTTGTGCTGTCAGAAATTAAAAGAAGCAGTGAAATCTCTACTTCCACATAAATTTGCAGCAGACATATTTTCGGGGCCCCAAACTACAGACTTAATATCCTGTTTATGGCTCTAAACTGTGTATAACCAGAGCCAGGGATCTTTCTCAACTCCATAGGCTATCATATAACTCATTATCTGGTTCATGACTTCCTTATTTCTCATCTAAAGTATTACAGTACTCTTAAAATTCTATCCGCCCCCCCCCCCCCCCCCGAGCCTTGCCTTTATTGAATTTATCTTTTACATAGTCGCTGGAGTAGCTGAAATGTAAATTTGAGTATATTGTTTCTATGCCTTCTTTCTTTTCATGGCTTCCCGCGCAGAGTGGTGGTTTTCAGGTGGTGGTTCTAGTTCCCAGCAGACCCCACAGGACTCTTCAGGGCTGCGGTAGAGAGGTGTACAAAACAATTCCTCTGCTACCACCCACCACCACGATCCTCTTGAGGCAGAACGCTTTTATTTGTTTTCATATTGTACTGCTTTTAAACTTTAATGTGAAAAATATTTTTTGTTGATGAAATGATAATTTTACAGCTGTTGGCCTATAGGTAAAGTTCAGGCTCCTTATTAACTAGATTGGGACTCTCAAGCCCCTCTTTCAAGTCCTTCCCACAGACTTGATGCCCTAGCAGTGCAAACAGTTCTGCTCTGCCTTTGCTGATATTTGCCCATCTGCCTGTTAGTCTCTCTTTTCTTTTTCCCAACTAGCTAACTGCTACTCCTTTTTTTTTTTTTTAATTTTAATTCTTAAGACTTGTTTCAGGTTCTGTCACCTCCAGAAAGCCTTTTCTCGCCATCTCCCTCTCAGGCAGGCTTAGGTTAGGTGTCATCCTTGGCATTCCACAAACTCTGTGCTTGTGCTTTATTTCCCTTTTTTTGCATTTTTTGGTATTATTATTTGTTTCTGTTTCATTTGAAATGCATAAAAGCAGAGACTATGTTTTTAAAGTTACATTTCTATATCTACAGTGATTACTATAGAGACTGCATGGTTAACACAAATGTTTCTGCAGTAAATTGATTATTGTTTATATCTTGCTGATACATTTGCAATAGATATTTGATCTAAAATTAAATGTACTTATATTATTCCTGTGTGAAAGTTTACTCTCTGTTGCATGTGTTTATAGTCCATAAGGTATACAAATACGAGTTTAAATTGTGCATTTCAAAAGAAAGACAAGATATTATATGCAGCTTTTATTAGTAACTAGAACTTAAGTTTAACAGCTGCCCTGTATTTTGTACAACTCTGAAATGTGAAGCTTTTCCATGTAATCTCATGCCAGTGTTGACCCATGTGGATTAAAATAGCCCTATTTTAATCTATGACCAAATTAGGAATTAGAATATCTACCCAGTGGGGATTTTAAATTATTGTAGTTGTAGTGTGACAGGTTTATATAAATAATTGCAGATTCCCACTGTGTGTTTTAAGTTAAAGTCTCCATTCAAATAGAGAAATGTAATAAGTATGTGATTCTTTAGCATGTTTATTTTACCTTTGATATTTTAAATTATATCTTTTTAAAAGGATTATCAAAACTGACTTGATAAAAAGAAGATTTGTTTAATTAATCTAAAATATCTACCTGTGGCCCCTTGGTTCAAAGTTGATATATACTTAAAAATACCAGGAACTAATTAACTAATTATCCTCAGTATATGTGTAGTATAATGTTTGTTTTTTTAAAAAAAACATTCTGGTCAGATTTTAATAAAATTATTTAACAACTAGAGTGAAGTCATTCCAGAATTTGTGTTTTTTTTTTTTTTTTCTTTTTCAGAATTTGTTGAAAACAATTCTCAGCACATTGAGCATTTTTCTCTTTTACAACTTCATATTTTACCTGTATCAAATAATTTTTAATGCACATCTTTGTTTTTTGTTGTTTCTCAAGAACTTGAATGTTAAATAAGCAGTTTTAGTTATACTGCTTCAGTGATTTAAAATTATAAACTTTCTCTTTTCATACAGATAAAGACACTATAAATAAAATTAGAGATTTACGAATGAAAGCTGAAGATTATGAAGTAGTGAAGGTGATTGGTAGAGGTGCATTTGGAGAAGTTCAATTGGTAGGTTATTTTAATGAGATTAAAAAATCTTTAAAATTAAAAAATCCACTTGTTTGTTTAACATATGATGGTTTGGAAAAGTATTGATTTTATAAAAGTCTTGCTTTAAGTTGCTCTAGACTTTCTTGCCTACTAATATGAAAGCCTAGAGTCTCATTCAGCAGTAGTGTGAAATATTTTCCCCAAGCATTCAAGGTTTCAAGCATCAAAAGAGAAGCCTTTACTCCTGATACTACTCCATCTAAAATGCTGTGGCATAGTAAGTTTTTCAACAGGAAGTAGCATCCATAGCAGAGTGGAGAAGGGGATGGATGCCATAATATAGGGAATAAAGTTTTTTTTTCTAACATTACTTATGGTATTTAAAGCCTTAACGTGATCTTACTGGGGTAATTCAGAAGAGACGTTAAAACAGCAAGACAGTAATGTTAGATTATTTAGTAAATTGTTTGTGATCTTTAAATGTTAATGAAAGATTCATTATTTTCCATTTCAAAGGTAAGGCATAAATCCACCAGGAAGGTATACGCTATGAAGCTCCTCAGCAAATTTGAAATGATTAAGAGATCTGATTCTGCTTTTTTCTGGGAAGAAAGGGACATCATGGCTTTTGCTAACAGTCCTTGGGTTGTTCAGGTATGCTTTTGCTGTTGTTTCATTGTTGTTGTACTGGTTTGTAACTTAACATATCTGAGAAGCTGACTTTGTTTTTTAGTGAACAGTAAGAATTTATTGGCCGTTATAAAAGTAATATGTCATCATTTTTAAAATCATAAAATTTAATGTTATTGAACCATCTCTAGGAAGGAAGTAAATATTTGTCTCTCATTTTATGGAATGGAAGAAAATGGGAGAAAGGAAGGAAAAAAGTTAAGCTAGGCCTCCAAATAATATTGTATTGGCTTCAGGTTTTTCAGTGGAAAGAAAAATACATCAGAAAGTCAGTAATTGTAAGTCCTGGTCTTGACTGCCACAGGCCTACCTGAAGTTGTGGCCAGATTATTTCCAACTTTGAGCCTCAGTTTCATTGCTTAAAAATGTGAAAGTTGACTTAGATTGGTTATTTTCAACTGAATAGGTACCTCATTTGGAGTCATGGGAGCAAGCAGTTATTTGGGTAGGTTATTATTCTGGGTTTTCTCTTGCTGCTTCAATTAGAGTAGCTGCATGTTTTATGTGTCTTATATATTGGGATTTTTACTAAGATTTCATGTGAGGGGGATAAGATTTTCTGGTTTAAAAAATGGAGTAAAACTATTAAGCTAGATCATTTCTGAAATCCTAGCATGAATTCTGTAGCTTCTTTATTTATACTATGTAATGAAAACTGTCCTGAATAAGCATAATAGCAATTGGTATAAAAAATATGAAATATGTTTAAGATTTGCATAATAAGGCTTTTTATACTTGAAATGTCTATTCTTGTTTGTATCGGCTATATAGAGCAGGGTCTGTCAGCCTCGGTATTGTTGACATTTTCAGCGATGTAAGGGCTTCCCTAGTAGCTCAGTTGGTAAAGAATCTGCCTGCAATGCAGGAGACCCAGGTTCGAGCCCTGGGTCAGGAAGATCCCCTGGAGAAGGGAATGGCAACCCACTCCAGTGCTCTTGCCTGGAGAATTCCATGGACAGAGGACTTGGCAGGCTACAGTCCACGGGATCGCAAAGAGTTGGACACGACTGTGTGACTAACTTTCCTTTGCCTTTCAGCCATGTGATGTTTTGCTGCTGGGGCTGTCCTGTGCCTTACAGGGTTTGTAACAGCATCCCTGACTTCTGCCCAGGTCCTCCCAGTAGCAGCCCTCCCCACCCCATACACCAGCTATTAGCAACTAAAATTGTGTTCAGACACTCTGGTGTGTTGGGGAGAGTGAGTGGGTGGGTGGGGGCCGTGCGACACCAACAGTTTCCCTTTCTGGTTGAGAACCACTGATATGGGGAATGTTCAATGTGTAAAAAGTTTAAAACATCACGTAAATGTTTAAGGTTAAATTTACAACTTGTGAATTCGAAGCTTTATTTTTCTTGATACATTGTCTGTAAATAGGGAAACTGCCACCAAATCAGCAATGTTTTTTTAATTATGGTGTCCGAGTGATTCACTGTACATGTTAACCTGGGATAGTCAAGAGACACCACTTAGTTTCTTATCCTTCCCTCTAAATATATATTTTATAATTAAAGTTACTAAGTGAAAGTGAAAATCGCTCAGTCATGTCCGACTCTTTGCAACCCCATGTACTGTAGCCTGCCAGGCTCCTCTGTCCATAGAACTCTCCAGGCCAGAATACTGGAGTGGGTAGCCATTCCCTTCTCCAGGGGGTCTTCCCGACCCAGGGATCAAACCAGGGTCTCCTGCATTGCAGGCAAATTCTTTACCAGCTGAGCTACCAGGGAAGCCCATAAGTTACTAAATCCATAACTAAAATAACTAAAGTTGCTAAATCCATAGCTAAAATCGTTAAATGCCATTGAAAAAAATGAAGTACAAAAAGAATTTAAAGATATAACTGCCTAGATAAATTAGTTATAATTTATAATTTTTCTCTAGGGCTTATTTCATTTATTTTAGTTCTATTCTAATCTTACCATGTTTACTTAAAATGTCCTTTTGTATTCTCCCTGGTGCTCCGGTGGTTTGGATTTGGGGTTTTCAATGCCCTGGGCCCCATTTCGATGCCTAATCAGGGTACTAAGATCCCACAAGCCGCACGTCATGGCCAAAAAAGAAAAAAAGAATGTTCTTTTGTAAATTTGCTTCCCTTTTAACTTCAGCCCTGGGTGTATAATATGTTTATGCCTGATATTATTGCTAGTTTCATATTGATGGACCTTCCCCTTCCTGCTTTGACTCTGTTGCCCTCTTCTTGCTTCTCTGTTGGCTGTTCCCCCTGCTGACTGCAGTTACTTACTGAGCACCTCTTGTAGAAAGTGCTTTCAGTATTCGCTAATCTCTTTTTAACAACATGGAAAGGCAGTTAATCCCCATTAGCTACATCCTCAATTTATAGATGAAATTTGTGCTTTTCTTCATAGAACATTCATTAAGTACTTGCCAACTGCAGGCATCTAGATGCAGACTGGGCAGCAAGTATAAAAGTCAAATATGGTATAGTCTCCCAAAAAGGATATAATCACAGATAATTTGAGAGGTTATGTAATTGCCTAGTCACACAGCTAGTCAGAGACAATTAAAACTAAAGCCTAGTTAGACTACTAGTTAGACTAGTTAACTAGTTAGCCTAGTTAGACTACTGGAAAATTGTGATATCAATATAAATTTAACATTAAACCCTACTATGCACAATTTAAATTAGAACTACAATATATCTTTGCTTAGAAAAATTGTATATCCTTTATTGAAACTGTTATAATTTTTAAAAATTCTCAGTATAAGTAATTAGTATAGAAAATGTAGAGAAAAAAGTCTCCAACTCCTCAGAAATAACCAGTTAATAATTCCTTGACATATGCAGAGTTCTTTGTGCTATTTATGTTTGTATTTATTTCCTTTTTAAAAACAGTGTTGACAGCTGCTTCATTTGATTATTTTATTTTTGACAATTCTTAACTGAAACAGTTTTGCTTAATCTTAATGAATTTCTTTGTTCTTCTGTATTTGTGTAGCTATTTTATGCATTCCAAGATGATCGTTATCTCTACATGGTAATGGAATACATGCCTGGTGGAGATCTTGTAAATTTAATGAGCAACTATGATGTGCCTGAAAAATGGGCCCGATTCTATACTGCAGAAGTAGTTCTTGCATTGGATGCAATCCATTCCATGGGTTTTATCCATAGGTAAAGATAAAAATGTTTAAAATTTCTCATTTGTCAAAGAGAGAAGTTAAAAATAAGTACTTTATTTGGTTAACACATCCCACTCTGAGTCCACCTATTCTTCCATATGACATAAGTGGTATTTCAAGATTTAAAACTTTGAAATTTGTAGTTCTAACATTTCAGTTTAGTGTTGATATAAATATACTCTTTTAATATTTCTTAATTTGATTATAAGGCTTTTATATAGTGTCCTGAAAAGTAAAATGTATAAGCTATTTTTTTAAGGTATCTTCCAGGGTATTAAATGCTTTTAATTTTTACATTCAAATTAATTTGCTTTTGATTAGTGAATAGATCATATTTATTTGTTAGAAGGGTAGTTTAATTTGTTCTACAAACACCAATTGAATTCTCTGTGCAATTGCTGTGCTCAGTGCCAGGGATACAAAAATGCAAGTGACTTAAGACCCTCTTCTAGGGTTATTTATGTATTTATCTATCTTGTGTGTTTCAGTTACTTTTTATGTTTGAATGTTACATTTTTTATAGTTATTCTCTCTCAAATGACTTGATTTTCCTCTTGGAAGAATCAAACTCTGCTTCAAAAGGAATATTATATGTCTTCTTCTGAGACATAACATATGAGAGAGTCTCCCTGATGAAGTTCAGTTTATAGATGTGGAGAGACAGCACATATAGTTTAAAGGTGGTCTTACCTAAACTGAGTGAGGATATCTGGCCTAAAATCATTGCCTCATATCATTTTTATCAATTTATGACCTGTTTCAGAGATACTCTATTTTTTTTTCCCTCTTCAGAGATGTGAAGCCTGATAACATGCTGCTGGATAAATCTGGACATTTGAAGTTAGCAGATTTTGGTACTTGTATGAAGATGAATAAGGTTAAATAATTAGATTTTAATTTAGTTTTGCTAATTCAAGATCGATGCTTTTTACAAAGTGTTTTAAGAATTTAAGAATTACTAACTGTATCTGACCATGTACAGAATTGATGTGCCCTGTCTTATTTGTTGGACTAAAATGCCATGGTTTCGCTGTTGTGTTTGTAAGTACTTTATTTTTTTCCCCTATCTAGGGGAAGTGTGGATTGCCAGATTTACTGAATCTTTTAAAATAAATCTGTAATGTCCACTATTTTAACTAGAAATGGGCTTAGTTTAAATGGCACTAAGTACTAATGCCAGTGTTAAAATGCGACTTTCATAAAAACTGGATTTCAGTAATACATGTATTTTTTAGTGTCTTACTTAGCCTTCTATTAAACATGAAAAGATCTTACTACTTCTTTTGGGATTCGGTCATAAAACATATCCATGCTCACTGTTTATATGATAAATAACATGTACATGGCTGAAGTAGCAAGTATGCTGCTTTATTTTCAGTTGAAACAGTTTATATTCTTTGAAACTTATCATAGAAGAATAACCAGAAAGTTGTATTTATTTCCAAAGGAAATTTACTGGTTAGGAGGAGAGCCCTATGTGAGAACTTTTGTGTAAACATTTATAATTCTCTTGCATTAATACCAGCTACAGGTATATATAGTTTTGTTTTTATTTGGAGAGAGGTTTAAAATTTATAGTAAACGGAGATCAGTGGGCTTAACACTATTATGCCCCTTTTCCATGCATGTGCCTTCCTGTTTTATATGTGTACAGTCGCTTCTTAATGTTTTTTTCTCTATTTCAAGTATAGTTAAATTGAATGACTATTTTAGTAAAAAACAATTAAATCACCTTTTATGTATTAATGTTATCGAGTGATTTGTTGTCAGTTTCTCAACATATTTGCCTTGACTTATATACTTTTTCTCTGCAGTTGAGATCATCTTATTGTTTCAACTGGGGGAATAATAAATGGTGTAATAATAAAAGAATAATAAGTGGGAAATAATAAATAATAAATAAATGCACTATGTCTTTCTAGTGAATGTTATTACAAAGAAAAAGTATCTGTAAACACGTACACACATGAATATATTATGTACATAATATGTATATAGGATTAAGCTATGTATTACTTTTTGTCAAGTTTGCATTAGGTTTTAATATGATCTTTTTATAAAGACTTAGCGCTCTACAGGTTATATTAAGAAAAAACTTGTGTTGAATAATTGACACTTTACATTTATATCCTAATTGAAAATTTGACCTCTATTTAGGAAGGCATGGTACGATGTGATACAGCAGTTGGAACACCTGATTATATTTCCCCTGAAGTATTAAAATCTCAAGGTGGCGATGGTTATTATGGACGAGAATGTGATTGGTGGTCAGTTGGGGTATTTTTATATGAAATGCTTGTAGGTGAGTAAAGGATAATTTTATGTACCTCTAACAGTTGTTCATCTCCATACTTATACCTGGCTTCTTCTGATAAAATATTACATTAAGTAAGCAATGTTGATTTTGTTAGTAGAAAACAGATTGATCCAAGCTCTGATCCAAACACACATACTTTGTGTGTTTTGACAAACTTGATGTGTTACTTCTTTTTATGTATTTGGTGTATGTTTTTAGTTTATGCATAGTTAATTATCATTAAGCAGTAACATTGACTTTTCCTTTGAAGCTTATTTCTCTAAATATATCTTAATTTGCTTTTGTTTTCCCTGTCAATTTGTCAGGTGATACACCGTTTTATGCAGATTCTCTGGTTGGAACTTACAGTAAAATTATGAACCATAAAAATTCTCTTACCTTCCCTGATGATAATGACATATCAAAAGAAGCAAAAAATCTTATTTGTGCCTTCCTTACTGACAGGTAAATAATTTAAACATGGAACACTATTCAAGGAAACTTTCATTTTGCTGCTCAGTTTTTAAGGTCTATTTCTGATCTCCTTTATTTGCACTATTGAAATTAAAATGTTACAATTCTTCAAATCATTCATGACAGTGAAACCTGATATAATTTTCTGATTTTTCTGGATCTCAATTACCTTACCTAAGAAATTGGGATAGTAAAAGATTCTTTTCTGATGACTAGATCAGATTGTAATTTTTTTCATTGTTAAAATTTAACTTAAGTATAAAGATGATAGTATATTTTATTGAATCTGGTTTTGTTGTTGTTCTTTTGGCCATGCTGCATGAGCTTGTGGACTCTTAGTTCCCCAACCAGGGATTGAACCCAGGCAGTGAAAGGGAATTCCCTGAGGGTTTTAGTTTTTTTTTTAGAGACATGTTAAAATTTCTATGATTAGAGTGCGTCTTAAGATCAATGGCATGTACTAATTTAATTGAGGCCATTTTTTTTCCCCTAGTAATAGAAAAATGATGATGTGTCTTCCAGCTGATGCCATTTAATACTGTATTGTGTAGTTGAAATTTGTTGAGAGGCTAGAACTTAAATGTTCTTGCCGCCAGCCGAAACAGGAAAAGTAAATATGTATAGTGATTGATGTGATAATTAGCTTGTTGGGAGAATCCTTTCACAGTGTATATGTATGAATATAAAATTGTCACATTGTAAGCTAAATATCTTAAAATTTTATTTGCTAGTTATACCTCAGTAAAGCTGGGGAAAAGATTTAATTATATCTGGCATATACTTTTTGAAATTAAAGAGATAGTGCAGAGCTATACAAAAAAAGTATTAGTATTTCCTACCTCCTTCCTTCATTGACATGGTCTTCTAGGTTCAGCAAGCATTTTTTATAAATGTAAATGCATGTAAGGGTCTTAGAAACAGGAATGGCCTATTTTATATATATAAATATATCCTTGTCATTTACTTCTAAAATTTAAATATGAATCAGATGACTTACTAAGATTACATTTATGGTTTAAGGTTGTTTATGGTTAATTTAAGTACTAGAGGGGCTTTGTACCTTTAAATGTGTTTCAATTTCAGATTCACTTTAATTAGTTAATTTATTCCTTCAGTATGTCCTTTAGAACCTGAAACATGATAGTTTTTGAAATTTCTATATTTTAATATAAGCACTATATAAATGTAGTCTATATAAAAATCATGCTGGGGTATAGAATTGAACAAGGTGCACAGCCTCTTCTACACTGTGTCCTAGCCCTTTGTGGGAAGCAGACAAGCAGGTGAGATACTTACTGTACAGAGATAAGTGCTCTCAAGTATCATGTGCCAAAGAACCATGGAGAGGTTCCCTAATCCAGTCTGAGAGAGTCAGTGAAAGTCATTAAAAGTGTCTTATTATATCTAAAGCATTTCTCTTTTAACTCATGAAAAAGTTTGGGATTTTTGTTGTTTACAAGTACTCTACTAAAGCACACGGTGCTGAGTTCCTCTTTCCAACTCAACTAAAGGCACATTTTAAAATGCTTTTTTTCTGTGCCTACCGAAGAGGCCAAGGATCAGTAGCTTGTCCCATTTAGTTCAGTTCAGTCACTCAGTCGTGTCCAACTCTTTGCAACCCCATGAACTGCAGCACACCAGGCCTCCCTGTCCATCACCAACTCCCGGAGTCCACCCAGACCCATGTCCATTGAGTCATTGATGCCATCCAACCATCTCATCCTCTGTCGTCCTCTTCTCCTCCTGCCCTCAATCTTTCCCAGCATCAGGGTCTTTTCAAATGAGTCAGGTCTTTGCATCAGGTGGCCAGAGCATTGGAGTTTCAGCTTCAACATCAGTCCTACCAATGAACACCCAGGACTGATCTCCTTTAGAATGGACTGGTTGGATCTCCTTGCTGTTCAAGGGACTCTCAAGAGTCTTCTCCAGCACCACAGTTCAAAAACATCAATTCTTCGGCACTCAGCTTTCTTTAAAGTCCAACTCTCACATCCATACATGACCACTGGTAAAACCATAGCATTGACTAGACGGACCTTTGTTGACAAAGTACTGTCTCTGCTTTTTAATATGCTGTCTAGGTTGGTCATAGTTTTCCTTCCAAGGAGTAAGCATTTTTTAATTTCATGGCTGCAGTCACCATCTGCAGTGATTATGGAGCCCAGAAAAATAAAGTCAGCCACTGTTTCCACTGTTTCTCCATCTGTTTGCCATGAAGTGATGGGACTGGATGCCATGATCTTAGTTTTCTGAATGTTGAGCTTTAAGCCAACTTTTTCACTCTCTTCTTTCACTTTCATCAAGAGGCCCTTTAGTTCTTCTTCACTTTCTGCCATAAGGGTGGTGTCATCTGCATATCTGAGGTTATTGATATTTCTCTTGGCAATCTTGATTCCAGCTTGTGCTTCCTCCAACTCAGCATTTCTCATGATGTACTCTGCATAAATTAAATAAGCAGGGTGACAATAGTCAGCCTTGACGTCCTCCTTTTCCTATTTGGAACCAGTCTGTTGTTCCATGTCCAGTTCTAACTGTTGCTTCCTGACCTGCATACAGGTTTCTCAAGAGGCATGTCAGGTGGTCTGGTATTCCCATCTCTTTCAGAATTTTCCACAGTTTATTGTGATCTATATAGTCAAAGACTTTGGCATAGTCTATAAAGTTCTCAATTTTGTAGGAGGGTCAAGAATTAGTTGTCATTGGTGTTTGGTCAGAAATATTTACTAGAGGATAAAATGGAAATTTTATATTTAAAATATCTTTTGGAGTTTTTGTAAACTGCTGGTGTGAAGTAAAGTTGTTAGTTACAAAAAATATATTTACCACTATTAAAAAACCTATCAAGAAAATTCATTAGGCTAATGAAGCAAGGAAAGTGATTCATCTGGTTATTTGTTGTCAGTAGAAAAACCATGGAGGATCAATAAATCTGTGGGGTTTTTTGGTGTGTGTGTGTGTTTTTCTTTGGAAAAAATTCTTTAATATTCTCAGCCTTCAACTTATTTTTTATGTATGCTCAAAATTATCCTGATAGTCAGCATAATTTCAGGGTGACATAGAATTGTATTTATCATCTTGCAAACTTAGCATTATGCCCATAAATAAATATGAACAGATAATAGTAATAAAATCTTAAATGATTACTGATTTTTCTCCTTTTCTCTCTATTCAGAGAGGTGAGATTAGGGCGAAATGGTGTAGAAGAAATCAAACGACATCTCTTCTTCAAAAATGATCAGTGGGCTTGGGAAACACTTCGAGACAGTAAGTTGTTTCCTCTTGCTTGTTACAATGAATATTTGAAAGTAGTTGTGGTAAATAGTTTATCAGAACTGCCTTCCTAAAAATAAGTGTATATCTGATGAAAATCCAAAGCACACAAAATCTGATGAAAATCCAAAGCTTATGTAAATGTTGTCCTAACCTGGTTAAAGAGAGACTGTTTGATAATATTGGGGAAAATATATTGCTCCTTCTCTGATGTTCCATTCAGTATGCCAAGATGAAATGTTATGTACATGTAATGGAGTTGGGCTCAGCAATCATAATGTGATACTTGGTCTTTGTTGAATTGCTTTGTTTAGACTTCAGTATCTCATTGTAGAGGAAGTCAGTAATTAAGAGGTAATATTTCTCATGGGGAAAAAAAAAGTTTATTGTCTTGTTTTTGCTAAAACCTAAAGCATAGGGAGGTTTTATCAGAATTTAAGTTGTGTCAGCAGGTAAGAAATTACCGTTTGCTTGGTTCCGTCAGGCTTGCAGCTTGCAATAAAAAAAATAAAAATTTGTAGTATGCAAGAAGTTAATTTTCAGTCCATTTAGACTATATCCCTGTTTTAATAACAGTTGAGATTATGACAGTTCACAGAAAACCTTGTTTAATGTAACTGAATTGAAATCATAATGGCACCAAAGGTTCCCATGATCTTTGTGGATTTGGGAGACCAAGAATTCACCTTTCCCTTGCTGAAGTCTCAGGAATTGTTCCCTTTTTCACTTAGCAGAGAAAGGATAGTGTATGTCAGCCCTTAACTTCCTGCTGCAGCATCAGCAGTGGACAGTAATTAGGCAATGAACTCAGCTGTTTTAGAAACAGTTACAAATTAGGTATTCCTCTTAAGATCTCATCTAGTTTAGATTACAAGAGATGATTCTTTTTAATTTTGAAGAAATAGATCATGTAGGTTTGCCAATACTAGTGAAATATCCTTGTTATCGTATATCATATTGCCTTCAGGTACAGTAGATATATTGTACTCAGCTATAAAACTGACTACGGAGGGAAAAGGGGAAATAAAGTTTTCTGGAAATTAAGAAATGACGCCACTGCAGATACTGACATTGCTGTCTGGAGAAGCTGCAGGAGCAGCCTCCCCTTGAGAGACTCTATTATTAACAGTTATACACTGGGAAATACAGAACTTCCTCCTCCTCATAAGTAAATGTGACATGATTATTGTTTTTCTGTTGCAAGAGAAGCTTGCAAGACAGAGATGAGTAGAGATGATAAGTGGCTGCTTTGAAAAATTCTGTTTTTTATTCAAATATGCTCTCAGTAAAGTTTCAGAAGGCTGGAAACATACATTTACAATTGTAAATCAGGGAAAATTTAAAAGAGAACTGCAGAAACTACCAAGTAATATCTTTTCTGTTGTTTTTTTTTTCAAACTGAAGCTATGCATAAATAACTCCAGAGTAACCATACAATAATTCACTCTAAAAAGCAGGGAAGACATAATTCCTTTTGTGTATTGAAAGTTGGTATTAATTAGGAGAGGAGGAAGTCTAGTCAGCAAGCATTGACCACCTGCTATATCCTGAGCACAGCTCTATTGCAGAAACTAGGAAAACAGCTCATAGTCTAGTGGAATTGAGGCATCCACAGCAGTGGCATTTTTGATATTATACTTCCTTACTATAACTGTTTATGGAAAAAGCAAATAAGATTGTGTCATTGATTTAAATCAAATGAACTGCATGTTTAAAGAATTTCTATAAATAGGTAGTATTATCAGTAGTTTTATTATCATTTCTGTATCTTTTCCAGATTTATAATATTACCTATGGTTTTGCTACAGTCTACTGAGATTTAATGTACTTGAGCATTTTGAGAGCTTTCCCTAATCCTAATAACTCCTATTACAAAAATTGAAGTCTGTAGAAGTTACTGTTCTCTTCTTCCCTTTCTCTCTTCCTACCCCTTCTTTACTTCCCACCCCTAAAATACCAAGAATACTTCTATTCTGAACTGACCTCTCTGACCTGCCAAGATTTTAAAAATTATATAACAGTTATAGTTCTTTTTAATTTTCTTTTGCCTCTCTAATTTTCTTTGGCAAGATTTCTTGCTGTTTTGCAAATAATAGTTCTTTTGGTAGTTTTACCACTTACATGTCTGCAAGTTATAATGGCAGTCTTTACCATCTGTTCCTTGGTCATGTGGGAGCAGGGTACAAATACAAAACAGCTTGATTTTTGGCAGAATTTCCACAAGCTTCCTGATCTTACTCTTAATTTAGAGGCACTAAGTATTAAGACTGTAAAATTACTTTTTCCCACTAATTTGGGATAGAATTGAAGAAATGACAGATTAAAGACAAGAAGAAATGAGAAGACCTAAAAAGCTTTCTACAGGTCACACTGCTAGCAAATGACAACGTCAGGACTCAAGTCTCAGTCTGTTTGACTACATCATCTTTGATCTTGTGAAATAGCATGTACCATTTAACCATTTCTACTGTTCAGTATTATGTAGATTAGAAATGCAGGGGATTGGCACTTGTTGGCAGTTAAATTTTAAGGAAGACAAAATTATAACATTTATTACATATAACAACACATTATTAATAATGCTATCTTATATATAACATGTGGTTACTTGAAAAACTTTGCCATTCATGATCTCATTTCAGATAAGATATTGCCATTACTTAATCCACCTTTTAGTTGATAGAAGACACGGTTAACTGTGGTAACTGTCAAAACATGTGATGAGTTTTCAGTTTAGTTAAAAGCAAACACAATTAACTGTATGTACATATGTGCTGCTTTAGGTTCTGTTTTTCCATCAGGTCTGGTGTCCTCTCTTAGGATTTTATATTTTCATGAAGAAGATAATCAATGTAGGCTTTGTGGATAAAAAATTCAGGAGCTAGCAAGTTTTAGGGTCTTAGAAGTTTAGACTGCCTCAGCATTATATTGGGTTCTTTTTATTTATTTATTTATTTATTTTTTATATTGGGTTCTTTTTAAAAAAATAAACTTTAAGAAAGATTGTCTCGTTTTTATTGTCATAAAGGATAAATATCTTAAAATTTACCATTGTAATCATTTTTAAGTACACAGTTCAGTAGCATTAAGCACCTTCAGATTGCTGTGAAACCACATCACCGTCCATTTTCAGAACTTTTCTATCACCCCAGACTAAGTCTCTATAACACATTAAACCTTAAATCTCCATTCTCCCCTTATCCCAACCCCCAGTGGCCACTGTTCTGCTTTATGAATTTGACGGTTCTTGCTGCTTCAAACAAGTGAATTGATACATCCTTTGTCTTTTTGAGATTGACATTTCACTAGCTTGTCTTCAGGATTCATCCTTATTATGGCCTGCATCAGAATTTCATTCCATTTTAAGGCTGAATAGTATTCCATTGTGTGTTTATACCACTTTTTTAAAAAGTCCATTCTTCTCTTGACTGATACTTCAGAATGCTTGTCCTTTAGCTATGGTGAGTAATGTTTCTCTGGTCATTGGTATACAAGTATCTGTCAGTCATTGCTTTTCATTCTTTTCAGTTACTGTCAGAGTCATTGCTTTCTATTCTTTTGAGTTAATTTTTGTATATAGTGTAAGATAAGAATCCAGCTTCATTCTTTTGCATATAGATATCCAGTTTTCCCAGCACCATTTGTTGAAATGACTGTCCTTTTTTCCTTACATAGTGTTGGTACCCTTATCAAAAAGCATTTGACCATATAATGTGAGGGTTTAATCTCTGAACTCTCTATTATACTCCACTGATCTATATACCTGTCTTTATGCCAGTAGTACACAGTTTGGATTGTGGTAGCTTTGTAGTAGCTTTTGAAATCAGAAAGTCTGAATCTTCCAACTTTTTCCTTCTTTTTCAAGATTGTTTTGATTATGGGCATACCTAGCTTTATTGCGCTTCACAGATAGCTGCAGTTTTTTACAAATTAAAGATCTGTGACAACACTGTGTCGTCAGATGATGGTTAGCATTTTTTAGCAGTTAAATATTTTTTCGTTAAGGCCTTAGTTTTAAATTAGGTTTTTAATTTTAACAGTTTTAAAAACGTAATGCTGTTGCACACGTAACAGACTACATTATAGTGTTAACATAACTTCTGTACACACTGGGGAGCCAAAAAAAGTTATTTAACTCACTTTATTGGACTGTTTGCTTTATTGCTCTGGTCTGAAATGGAACTCACAATATTTGTAAGGTATACCTGTATTTGGGATCCATTTAGATTCCATATGAACTTTAGAATGGGGTTTCTCCATTCCTGAAAAAAAAGACAGTGGAATTTTTAGAGCAGTTGCTGAATGTGTTTCTAGTTAGGCTGCCTTTTCTTTTCTTTTCTTGCCTGTTTGCTCTGACTAGAACTTTCAGCATGTTGTTGAATAGCAGTAGTGAAATTGAGCATCCTTCCTTGTCTTGTTCCTGATCACTGGGGGAAAGCTTTCAATCTTTCCCTGCTGCATATGATGTGGACTGTGGGTTTTTCAATAGTGCCCTTTATTATATTGAGGAAGTTCCCTTCTATGCCTTGTTGACTGAATATTTTCATCATGAAAGTGTGTTGGATTTTGTAAAATGCCATTTCTGTGTTATTTGAAATAATCATGTGGGTTTTTTTCTTCATGCTATTAATGTGATGTATTACACTGATTAACTTTCATGTGGTGAGCCACCCTGGAATATATCCCACTTGATCATAGTTTATAACCCCCTTAATATGCTGCTACATTCAATTTGCTAGTACTTTGTTAAAGATTTTTGCATCGGGGGATATTGGTTTGTGTTTTTTTCTTGTGGTGTCTTGGTTGGCTTTGGTGTCAGAGTAATTCTGGCTTCATGGGATGAATTAGGAAATGTTTTATCCTCTTCTGTCTTTGGAAAATTGTGAGGATTGGCATTAATTCTTCTTTATGTATTTGATGGAATTCAGTTGTGAAACCATCTTGTCTTGGGCTTTTTGTTGAGACATTTTTGTTATTGATTAAATCTCTTTCCATAGGTCTTTTCAGTTTTTCTTTTACAAGTAAGTTTTGATAGTTTGTGTTTCTGGAATTTGTCATTTCATCTTGGTTATCTAATATGTTGGTGTACAATTGTTCATAGTTTTTAAATTTTATCCCGTTTATTTGTAGAAGTTTGATAATCATGTCCCCACTTTAATTTCTGATTTTAGTTATTCATGTGTCTTCTCCTTTTTTCTTATTGAAGTAAAAGATTTGCCAATTTGATTGACCTTTTTAAAGAACCAATTATTTGTTAATTTTCATGATTCATTTTCTGTTACATGTTTGATTTACTTGCATTTTGATCTGTACTTTTTCTTTCCTTCCTCTAGCTTTGGGCTTGATTTGCTCTTTTTCTAGTTTCTTAGAGTGTCAGTCTGGGTTGTTGATTTGAGATCCTTTTTTTTATATAACATAGGCATTTACAAATAAAGTGCTTCCCTAAGTATTGGTTTCACTGAATCCCATAAGTTTTGGTATGTTGTTTTCATTTTCATTCATCTCAAAGCATTTTCTTTCTTTCTTTCTTTCTGATTTCTTCACCTCATGGTTTAAGAGAGTACTGTTTAATTTCCATATATTTGTGAATCTTCTAATTTTCCTTCTCTTATTGACTTCTTGTTTCATTCCATTGTGGTTGGAGAAAATGCTTTGTATAATTTCAGCCTCTTTAAATTTATTGTATTTTGAACTAACATATAGTCTGTCCTGGAGAAGTCCCATGTGTTCTTGAGAAAAATGTGTATTCTGCTATTGGTGTTGGGTTATGTTCACTATTAAAAGTGGGTTAATGAAGACACTCTTAGAACTGTTTCTTTTATGTCATTTATATGTGTGTATGTGTATCTTTGGAACTGTTGTTGTATGCACATATGTTTATCATTGTTGTATCTTCTTCATAAATTGACCCTTTTATCAATATACAGTATTTTCACCTCACACTGGTCAGAATGGCCATCATCAAAAAAAGTCTACAGATAACAAATGCTGGAAAGGATGTGGTCTCTACCCACCAGATGTCAGCAACATCCCTCCCCCAGTTTTGACAACAAAAATTACGCACCCAGACATTTCTGACATTCAGACATTGCTGAATATCTCTGAGGGGCCAAAATTGTCCCTAATTGAGGACTTCAGACATTGTTGAGTATCCCTGAGGGCCCAGACTTGTCCCTGATTGAGAACTACTGTTGTAAGGTTAAATTTGTGCTAAGAGGATGTACTACATAAGGAATGACAATCTTTTTTTCCCCTCATTCCACAAATTAGGCAGTTAATGTCAGGAAGCTAGAATCATCTAGTTGGGCAGTTCTCTTGGCCATTAAGGAAAGAGAATGGTGGAAAAGCTCTTTTCCTGTTCACTGTTAGAACTGCAGCTTCTTTTGATTAAATGTGTTGTTTCATTCCCAGATTTATCTGATAGGTCACTGTATCTGAGATGCACAACAGTAGTTATTTCTTGCCTGGAATACCCAGATGATTTAGTAGAGCAAAAATTCAAGTTATGTGTGAAACTAAGATTGTAATGTCAGTTACTTCTGTTTTCCCTTCTTCATCTTTTTCTCTTAGGAAACATGAAATGACTGCATGTAAAACAATTATTGAATGTTTTGATGATAATATTTCAGTGATGTTTTATTATACTCCTGTATCTTTAAACTAGAAAATGTTTTTCCAAAAATTTATTTTTAGATGTACTTTCTGTGGCATATTTAAGCTCTAAAAGAAGACAGTGGTAGTACTTGTTTCATATGTTATTTTCATTGTCATGAAGATTTGCATTGTCACATACAGTTTTATTTTAAGTGTATGTGGGTCTTGCTTCCCTCAAGTTTAGCACTCCTGAAGAAGATTCTTTGCTGAGGTTTTGTATCCTTGCTCTCTTTTCCCAACAGCCATTTTATAAGACTTACCTGAGTTGCCCCCAATCACTTAATTCAAGGAAGGTAACTATTAGTAGTCTGAAAATATAATTCAAAATAGTTTGCTCCTATTCAGTATATCATAATAACAACCAATAATGAAAAGAATCTTGGAAAAAAACAAAAATACACACACACACACACACACACGTAAGTGAATCACTTAGCTTTACACCTGAAACACAATATTGTAAATCAACATTAATTGGAGAGAAAAAAAAACAAAAATTTTGCTCTTATAGAGCTATTGAGCCAGTGGGCAGGGGAATACTGATTTTCTAGATTCTAGATAAGTAAAAATATTTCAGTAACAAATGATTACCTGTACCCAGGACTGCTAAGAGAGGTAACTGATTTCTAGTTTGCTGTAGAGCAGATTAGTAAGTGAAATGCTGTGTATGAAGCTGACCAACTTTAAGTGCAATCTGTTTTGCCCTGTAGTTTCTGAACAGTCTTTTCTGTAGTCCTATTGCTTTTGCACATCTTATACTGCAGTGTATTTTAAAACAAACCTTAATAATACTTGACTTGTAATACTCAAATTAAACTTGAGGTATATATGATACCTTCATAATTATTTTTGAAAATAACTGATTTACAGAATTATATAATCAGTGATCAGTAGCTGCTAATTAATAATCCTAGTAAAGCTTACTGTAATAGAATTCAGCCCATTTAGAATTTATGGTTCACAAGTTATTTATATGTAGGAAGTCATTAGTAGTTAGTGCAAAGTCTTTGTTTCACTTGATATTAAATTTGGAAAGAACTAATTTTGTTTCTGTTTTTAGCTGTAGCACCAGTTGTACCTGATTTAAGTAGTGACATAGATACAAGTAACTTTGATGACTTGGAAGAAGATAAAGGAGATGAAGAAACATTCCCTATACCTAAAGCTTTTGTTGGCAATCAACTACCTTTTGTAGGATTTACATATTATAGCAATCGTAGGTAAGTATGCTACACATTGGTTTTGGGGGTAGGCACTGGTTTTGTTGTAGTCATATTATTTTCTTAGGGATATCTAAAATTCACCTTAGAACATTTAAAGTAGATTTAATGGTGTATAAAAAGATATATTAATACGTCACATTCACCAGTTAATTATATTTCCAGGATTTCATATTTAGTATCTTTCAAACTCATCCATGCTCAGGATATTGTTTTTCAGAAACTCTTTGCTGAATAACTTAATGTTTCTTCACATTACATCTATTAATAGGTCAAGAGATTCTGTTACTGTTGACATTTTGCTTAATCCTGTTATCCAAAGAGTTCTGGTTTTATAATGCATTTTTAAACAGTATGTAGTCTTCTAGCATTATCATCACTATATTGATGTTACAAAAGGCCTATAGTTTTCAATTCTTCAAAAATTAAGTGATTCCTCCCTAAAACTTCTCAGTGAATTCATCATATTTTACATTATAAGGCTTTGTGACCTTAGGCAAATAGCTTTGATCTTTTATACCTTCATTTCCTCAAAAATAGGTATGGTGGGGATAATAATTGTGTCTCAGGGTTGTTGTAGGGGTTAAATAAATCAAAACACAGTAAAACACTTAGAGCAATGCTCTGCATGGCTAAGCACTCAGTGTTAGTTATTATTATCATTAGTATGAGCTAATGTTAATTTTAGCCTTTTCAGTGAACTTCAGATACAAGTGAAACATTTCACGTTATTTTTATATGCTGGGCATTCTATTCAACAGACACATTTGACAGTCTACTCTTCGTCAGATATAAGGATTATTAATAAGATACAGAGTCTTCTCTTGAGATGTTCATATCCTAGTGAGGAAATGGACAAGTTGTACACTGTAGGTTGGCGAATACTACACAATAGAAATCTAAATAAAATGCTACACCAGTATATAAAAGTGAACTGAACTATATGGCAACATCAACTGGGTATGTCAAATCTGCTTGATCAGTTTATTTTAGAATATGTACTTCTAGTCAAATTATACTCCATTAAAATGGTAGTAGACATTTGAATTTCTTGGAATAATGATTAAATTTGAGGTTATTATAGCTCACTTTCTTTTAAAGTGAAACATCTTGTCATTTTAGTCAAAACTTTTAATAGGTTAATTCAGGTCAAGTTTAGAAAACAGGAATTCAGTTTAGTCCTGCTTTATGAAATTTCTTCAGTAATCCAACTATAAGACAATAATTTTGTTCTTTTTTTTTTTCCATTTATTTTTATTAGTTGGAGGCTAATTACTTTACATCATTGCAGTGGTTTTTGTCATACATTGAAATGAATTAGCCATGGATTTACATGTATTCCCCATCCCGGTCCCCCCTCCCACCTCCCTCTCCACCCGATCCCTCTGGGTCTTCCCAGTGCACCAGGCCCGAGCACTTGTCTCATGCACCCAACCTGGGCTGGTGATCTGTTTCACCCTAGATAATATACATGTTTCGATGCTGTTCTCTTGAAACATCCCACCCTCGCCTTCTCCCAGAGCCCACAAGTCTGTTCTATAAATTTTGTTCTTTTGATACTAGAATACTTTCTCTGTATCATCAGACAAGTAAGTGATACTTGAGTTTTGACCCCTAGAAAGAGACAGTATTTTAATCTCTTTTCCCTCCCTAATTCTCTGACTGTAATATTGGAACTATTTTATATTGAAATGCACAGAGACCCTGTAAAGTGGTATGTTTGTTCCAGCATTTTTTCTTTTTTTCTATTTTAAAAATTTTATATTTTTATCAATTTTTCTCTGTCTTGAGTGTTGTAAAACACCCAAGATGTTGATATAAACAACCCCCTAAGTGTTTTTATATTTTCTATAGTAGAGTTCAGCAGTTAATTACTTTTTCTACACAAAAGTGGTTACTTTTTCTACACAAAGGTAATTTTAAATAATCATTATATACACACATGCACTATTTGTACTACATTATCATGCACTAGATTATATGTTCTGTGATTTTTCCTTGTAGTCATGTCTCATGAAAGTGAAAGTGAAGTTGCTCAGTCACGTCCAACTCTTTGTGACCCCATGGACCGTATGTAGCCCACCCAGGCTCCTTTGTCCATGGGATTCTCCAGGCAAGAATACTGGAGTGGGTTGCCATTTCCTTTTCCAGGGGATCTTCCTGATCCAGGGTTTCAACCCAGGTCTCCCTCATTGCAGGCAGACTCTTTACTGACTGAGCCACCAGGGAAGACCACTTCAGACCTAACTGTGGGTTTTATTTAATATACATGTTATTTCTGTGTTATGTTTGTAAAAATAAAGAATTAAGAACATGCACTCAACTTTTAAAAGCAGAGCAAGTTTAAAAAATAGGCATATAATATTTGTTACTGGTTGCTACTTGATATTAGAATTTTGTTTTTCTTTTAAAAACTTTTTTTCTTCCCAGATACTTATCTTCAGCAAATCCTAACGATAACAGAACTAGCTCTAATGTGGATAAAAGCTTGGTAGGTATTTTCTTATTGTTATTTTTTTAAAAGCTGTTTTGTGAATAATGTATTTTGTATGCATGATACTAATGTATATATTGCTTCCGAATGTGTAGTTAGTGAGCCTGATTTTTTTTTTTAATTTGGCTGTGCGAAGTCTTAGTTGTAACATGTAAACTCTTGAGATCTAGTTCTCTGACCAGGAATTGAACCTGGGCCCTCAGCATTGGTAGCTCAGAATCTTAACCACTAGACCACCAGGGAAGTCCTGAGCCTAAATTTTTATAGCATCTTTTTTACCTACTGTCTCCTCTCCTGCTTGATTTTTTGCCTGAATATCAAATGGGATATTATATGTGGAAGCAGTTAATAAACTACACCTTGCTACACAGGTTGACAGAGGTGGTCTTTTTAATCTTTGGAATTAGAAATTTATGATAATTCAGTGCTCAGGTAGGATCTTGACAGGGAAACAGATGACACATTCAGAAGGTTTAAATGAGAGTTTTCTGTGTGTGTGATAAAATTTATGTAACACAAAATTGACTATTTTATTAACACCATTTTTAAGTGACATTAAGCACCCTCACATTGTTGATGTGGTCATCACCACCGAAATCTCAAGAACTTTTTCTTCATCCCAGACTAAAACTTTGTACCCATTAAAGTCTGCATTCCACTCTCCCTCCAGCCCTTGATAACTGCTGCCTTTACTTTCAGTCTCTATGAAATTTATTCTAGTGAAATAATACAATATTTGACCTTTTGTGGTTGGCTTATTTTACTTAATGTCCTCAAGGCTCAAGCATGTTGTAGATGTGTTAGAATATCATTCCTTTTTAAGGCTTAATATATTGTTATATCTATATACCACATTTTGTTTGTTCATGAAGAGAGTTTAATGAAGGGACTGTAAATGGTGTTATGAGCAGGATCACAGGGAGCAGTAAAAAAGGGTGTAAAGCAGCCATTTATTGACAGCAGTGGGAAGCCATTGCCCCTAGTCTGAAGGACGGGGAGAGACAAATCTTGTTCCCACAGCTCAGAGAGAATGTGTAGAATCATGAAAGAGGAGCATAGAACATAGAACACTGCCAAAGCCACAATAAGGCAAGAGGAGAGTGAGGAGAATGGATATTTCATTTCTCCCAACTGATCTCCAGCTGGTGGCATGTGTAGGCTGAAACCAACTTTAAAATCGTGGGACAGAAGAGCCCATGTAATGAAGTCTGTAAATTTCATGACAGAGAAGGCAGAGGATGGATCTTCGAGACTGCGAGGGAGAGGTGACCAATGGAGAGTAACTAGTAGAGTGAACATCCTCTCATTTGACCCTGAAAAGTGAATGACTATGGGAAGTAAAATTAGAGACATGAGTTCTTTTCATTGTGAGAGTAGTTCATAAGAGATTTAAATTTTTTTACTTGCTTATGTTTGAGAAGGTCCTTTTGGGTTAACTGGAAATTTTCTTAAATATACCAAAAATAAACCTGGCCATCCTTAGACCAGTCTTTGAACTCTGTGTGCTGCAGCCTGTATTTTTAATTGAGACGAGGAATAGTCTGTGTTCATTTTTAAAAGCTGATAAAATTCATCTCTTTCTCCTTTACATGTTTACTCTTACATTTGAGAGAGCATGTGGTGGGAAGGGGAAGTGAGAAAAAGGGGAATGAACTATGTGGGTACCTGTTAGCTATTATGCGTTTTTTTTCTTTTAAATTCTTATCCCAACAAAGTTACTTGCCAAGTTATGTGGCTAACCAGGGCTCAGAAATCTTCAAAATTAAAGCACATTTGACCTGGAAAAGGTGAAAATGAGCTGTTATAACTCCACTCTCACTGTATTACTTATTTGTAAGTATAGGGGTACATTAGGACTTAAACAATTCAGTGGCATCGTGTTTTCTTTGGGCTGATCTTGTTCAGTGGTGATTGCCATAAGTTTCTGTCAGTGACTCTTATCTTTCACTCTGTTTAAGAGGAAGAAGAAAACGTTTGTGTGCCTACTATTTCTGTTAACCTAGAACTAAGTATAAAAGTCAACCAATTTAATTTTAAACTCTTCCCTGAAATCCTTCTAGCGGAGATGCTAGTGAACAGCTTTGCAGTTGCCAAATATGATGAATATTTTTCATTTCATATCTTATTTTTCTTTTTTGTTGCATTTGACACTGAGCATTCCTTCCTCCTTAGAACTCTAAGAACTCTCATACTCTCATTATTTCTTGCCTTTTCTCCTTCTGCCTCTGAAGTTTATTTTCAGTCCTCTTTTCAGTCTCTCCTTCTGCTTCCCCCTCCCCGTAATTATTAAATGTTTCTCAAAGCACTTCTGACCTTGGCCCTCTGCCCATTTTCTGTGATTGATCTCGTGTGTGGCCATTGCTTCTCTGAGCTCTGTACCTGAGTCCTTTCTTTCTCTCTGAACAGACGTCTCTGCCTGCACAGCTTTCAGACACCTCAGCCGAGGCCAGAGCCAAGCTCAGCCTTTCTCTCTTCATCCTCTCCTCAGCGATCTTTTTGTCACACATCTTTTGTAATGCTCTTCTGTTCTTATTTCTAATTGGTTGCTGGATCATAAATTCTGCCTTCTGATTGATGCAGTAATTCATTTCCTCTTCATTTCTATAGCTTCTTCCTTACATTAGACTTGTATACTCTTTTTTGCCCGGACTGTCTATTAATTGGTTTTTCTTTGTCTAGAATTTCTCTGCTATCTAATGTATTCACCTTCTTTTTTACTGAAATGATATTTCTAAAGTGCCAACACTGTCATTTTCCGTTTTAGAGTGTTTACAGGTTAAAGTGCCCAACTCCTTTTCGGCATACAAGGAAATAGTCCCACTCTCCTTTTCAGCTGTTACGTTACTCAGTCTCTCTGTTATGTTCTGTCCTCTGGTTGTGATCTCTCTCCATTATCCAATCGTATTTTCTTTGTCTCTCTACTTTCTGACTCATTCATTTTGGCCAGAATGCATTCATTCTTTCACTTCCTCTGCTTGGTAAATACTTCTCTTCTTACAAGTCTCATCATAAACATTCCATATCCCTGGCAGATGAGGTCTGTCCTCTTTTCTTGTGCAGTATACCTTATGTGTAATTTTATTTGTATCTACCACATCATAACATTTAGTGTATAGGTCTTTGAGTTATTGTAGGTTCTTTCCCCCCTCCTATTCCCTGTGTCACACTATTTAACTATTAGCTTTACAAGAACTGGGACCAAATCTTTTGAATTTTTATATTACTAGTGCCAACCATAGCGCCCGACATATTAACGTTAGAAGGAAATGCTTGTTGAGTTAATAAAAATTTCAGACAGAAGGGAAAAAGGTAAGATTGGATCAGATATTTCCTTGTGAACAGCTATAAAATGGTAATATAAATTTACTATTTTAAAATTCTCTATGAATATTCTTATTAAAGTGAGTTTTTGTTTTTAATTAAAGCAGGAAAATTTGCAGAAAACAATTTACAAGCTGGAAGAACAGTTACATAATGAAATGCAATTAAAAGATGAAATGGAGCAGAAGTGCAGGTGAGAATATGCTTTACATTTTTCCCATTAAAAGTTGCATAGCAAGTGCCTATTTGCACTCTAAATCCCTAAAAGTGGATGGAAGTAAGGCAGGGATGTAAAGATTGCCACTGATATACATTCAGTGCAGACTATTCACTTAATACCTGATTTACTCATTTTCTCTCCCATTTTAATTAGCTGACAGGGAAAATTAGTTTATATTGAATAAGATTCTTTCCAAAATGTAAATGTTGTTGAAGATTAAAATTCACTAAATGTAAAAAATTAACTAAATTTTTGATGTGAACACTCTTAATTTCCACTTTGCTTCTCTAGAACAGTATTTTTTCAGAACTTTTTTGTCCTGTGAGTCTAAATTTAATAAGAACCAATATATTTATGAAAATATAAAGTGATCAAGGGAATCTAAAATAGCCTACCATAATGCTGAGTTAATTATTACAGACTTTAACATTTTATAGTTACTGTTAGTGGATAGTATTGAATAAATAAAAAGTAGGTGCTATGGAGATGAAGTATTCAAAAAATGGAATTGGTAAGACTAGCAATTTTGTGACTGGGGAGAAGAAACTAGTAAATTGCTCACTGCCTATAGATTAAATGGTGAAGCATTTAATACAGGCTTTTTTTTTTTTTTTTTTTTAAAGAAAAGCACTTTAATATAATCATGAGCACAGGATTTGTAAGGAATTTCTGGGTGTAAAACATAGAAATAAGGAGAAAGAAATGGATAAATATTATTATATAAATGTTGAACAGTTTGTATAATTAAAGCTAGAAGGCAAATGACAAATTAGTGATAGTGATGGTGGTAGGGATCAATTTAATGAAAAAATTAAGAGTGGCCAAAGTGGCCAATAATTATACAAAAATGAGTGCATGTGTGGTGGGGAGGGAGGTGGTGACCTCAAATAGGTTTGGATAGGTGGTAGGTTAAGAGAGTCTGAATCTTAGAAGACTGTTTTTGAAAAGATTGAAAGTTGGAATTTATCGTAAGGGTGATTGAAAGGCATTCAGTTCAGTTCATTTGCTTAGTTGTGTTGCAGTGACCCCATGGAATGCAGCACACCAGGCTTCTCTGTCCATCACCAATGCCCGGAGCTTGCTCAGACTCATGTCTATTGAGTCGGTGATGCAATCCAGCCATCTTATCCTCTGTTGTCCCCTTCTCCTCCTGCCTTCAATCTTTCCCAGCATCAGGGTCTTTTCCAGTGAGTCAGTTCTTCACATCAGGTGGCCAAAGTATTGGAATTTCAGCTTTACATCAGTCCTTCCAATGAATATTCAGGACTGATTTAATTTAGGATTGACTGGTTTGATTTCTCTAAAGCATTAAAAGTTATTAAACTTAAAGGAAAACAAAAGATCAGATTTGCTTTTTAAGAAACTCTCTGGTTAATAAGGCAGCACTTGATATTTATTCACTAAGTGAGAATGAGGGAGGAAGATGAGTCAGGGAGAATTCCCAGGTGGTGTCCTTGTTTGGGGATAGCAGAGGAACAGCAGATTGGTACTGTGGCAGGGGTGTGGGGCAGAGGGAGTAAGTTTAGCTTTGGACATGCTGAATGAAGTATTTGGTGAGACATCCAAGTGAAGAATTGCATATACAGATTTGAAGCTCAGAAATATGTTTAGAGCCCAAAATATGAATTGTGATGGAGATGATTCGCTTTCAGTTTATCTCAAATTTTTGCCCAAGTTGCCAAGTTTGCTTTATATATGCCACCTTTCCCTTCATTTACTTAATCTTGCATTAAAATTTAAATGATTGATCTTTGTTTAGTAGCAAGTGTTGCCTGAGGAATTCAGGGCTCCTTAACCTAGAATCCTTGAACCTCTCCTAAAGCATCCATGCATGGAATTTAAGGTCCTTAAACTTGGGGGAGAATAGTGAATCTTTTCTGTAACCTTTAACTGAAATTCAGCATCTTCAATTATGAACATAGTAATCTACAGGTATTAGCAGTAGTTGTGAATTTTTTTATTACCAGTAAAAATCACAAATATTTTCCTAGAATGCAAATATTATCTCTAAATTCCATTTATGCTCATTACTACTTTAAAATTACTGCTGCTAGATTGTGTCACTTAATATATTAATAAAACATGTATATTAGTGAATCATACTGTTTTAAAAATTCATGACTGTATTTCACAATTTCTTTTAATCCCATGTATTTTATGCTTTAAAAATATTTTTGTGAAAAAATGCTATATGCTTCACCAGACTGACTTCAGAAGAGTCAACAGCATATGCACAAAAAAGATTAAGAAGTCTTAGCTAAACATGTATATTATCTAGGGTGAAACAGATCACCAGCCCAGGTTGGGTGCATGAGACAAGTGCTCGGGCCTGGTGCACTGGGAAGACCCAAAGGGATCGGGTGGAGAGGGAGGTGGGAGGGGGGACCGGGATGGAGAATACATGTAAATCCATGGCTAATTCATTTCAATGTATGACAAAAACCACTGCAATGATGTAAAGTAATTAGCCTCCAACTAATAAAAATAAATGAAAAAAAAATAAGAAATCTTAGCTAAATGGAAAAGTAAGGAATGTGGTTTTTCACCCCAGGCAGTAAAAAGTAAATGTATTTCTAATCCATATTGCTTTTACTTTTACAGAACGTCAAACATAAAACTAGACAAGATAATGAAAGAATTGGACGAAGAGGTACTTTTTATTTTCTAATCAGAGGTTGTCCTTTTTGAGAGAACAAAGAGGTTGTCCTCTTTCAGATTGTTTTGTTTTCTGAGAATGTTACATCTGAACTTGATAGGTTGCAGTATAGAACGGGACCAAAGAATCATGATGAAAGCCTCAGTTTGGAGCTACAAGTTCAAGTGAAATTAGATTATGCTTTAGTTTCTTTTATGTGGTTTTATTCTAGAACCATGCTCAAATTTTAGTACATGAATTTCAGTTTACTGGTTCTTAATAGTTGAAAAGAGAGAAAGGAGCAGGAGATGAGAAGTTGAGTCTAGAACTGTAGCAGAAAGAGACAAATAGGAAAGAAGGAAGAATACAGCTTCAAAAGGACTTATATTAACATAATTTCATATGATCAGATGGGAATTATATGAATCTTGGAATCATTTTTTTCCATCATCACTTAGCAAGAACTTGTTACTATCAGGGAAATACTGCTGAACATTTTGTGATTAGGATGTTCTTTTGCAAGTATGTAGCACATTTTTATTCCTTCTGGTTACCTTGTAAATATCTTTCCAAAGTCCTTCCTCTCATTGTTTACATCCTTTGTCCTTTTTAGATTTAACCTTTCTGATGATTTTTGTGCTGTCTTAATTTTCTCCTAAAGAATAGCATATGTCAGTGATGGTGGGTTTTTTTGTCTCTTCTCCCACCCCCCCTGATATTCATAGGCTCAAATATACATAGTCTGGACAGATTTATGTAATATATTAGTTATAAAATTAAAACCATCCTGCTTCTGAAAAGATGGAGTGAAAGTCCTTTCCCCTATTTCTCCCGCTAAATACAACTTTAAAACCTGGGGCATTAAACAAAAAAAATTAAAAAGATTGTGAAAGGTGGAGGTAAGACAGACCAGCTAGAATACTTGAACCTCCAGAAATGATACAGTAATAAGTACTCTGGGTTTTTTGGGCTTTTGTTTGTTTGCTTGCAGTGTATATTCCATGCTGGGTACTGGATAAGCCAGCAATCGGGGAACACCAACAGCACAGGTGAAAAAAAACACTCTTTAAGTAGAGGACCAGGAAAGCAGCAGGGTAGCAAATCAGAAAACTTACAGTCACTGCTGTAGTCACCAAACACAACGTAGAAAATGTAACCCCATCCCCATCCGCAGAAACAGAGTTCGGAGCTCAGACTTCCAGCCCCATGACCAGGAAGGTCCATTGGAGGGACTTGCATCTCTGCTGGGCAGTGATGAGCCTTCCTGCCCCCCGCCCCCGCCCCAGATAGTGTCATTGGAGACCATGTGGGGAAGCTCATCTTCCATTCTGGCAGTTAGCAAGGCCCTCTTCCTGCTCCCTGTTGTGTTGGTATCAGAAGAGGCCTTGCAGAGAGTTCACACTTCGGACACTGAAAAAATGAGCGCCTGTCTCCCCATTGCAGTGTCTGTGGGGGTTGTGTAGGCAGCAGTGACCAGGTACCGGCCCGCCTTCATGGTGTCATCCGAGGAAGCCTAGTGGGGTGCCAGAACTCCCCTTTCCACCAGTGGTGAAGAGGATCCACTCCCTCCCCCAACCATGTGTCATTAAAGACCATGTGGAAAAACCTAGATTTCTACCTCTATTTGAGAGAAATGAGGCAGCACTTCTGTCACCCCACCTGAACAGTGACAGGAGAGGCCTGCTAAAGCAGAAGGCCTTTAAAATCCCCATATTGTAAGATAATACCCAGAATGTCCAGATTTCATTAGAAAATCACTCATAATAGCCAGAACTAGGAATTTCTCAACTGGAATGAGAAAAGACAATAAACCGATGCCAACAGTGAGATAACACAGATGTTTAAATTACCTGACACAGATTTGAAAGAATCATCATGTTTCAGTGAGCAACTACAAATATACCTGAAATAGATGAAAAATATAAATTAGAAAGTCTTTACAAAGACCTAAAAGATATAAAGTAGAACCAACCAAAAGTTAAAAATACCTGGGCTCGGCAGCACAGTGAAGAATACAAGGAAAAGAGTCTGGGAACTTGAAGATGGATAGAAATTACCGACTCTGAATATCAGAAAAAGTGACGGAGCCTCAGTGACCACTGGGGCTATAGCAGAAAGGTTCTTAGATTGTGTTTTTGGAATTGCTGAAAAAGAGGAGCAAAGAGGGAAGGAAGCAATGAAGACTGAAAATTCCACAAGTGTGGAGAAAGATGTGAACCTGTAAACAAAAGATACAAGCCTACAAGAAACTGAGTGAACCACAAAAAGGATAAACCCAAAGATATCCACACCAAGACATACAATAGATTTATGAAAACTAACATCAAAGAAGAAATCTTAAATACAGCAAGTGACACTTCCCTAAAGGGGAAGAACTGTGCAGATGACAGATTTCTTATCAGAAACCATGGCGAGCAGAGGAAATGTACTGCTTTTTTTGAGGGCTGTAAAAAAGCTGTTGACTGAGAATTCTGTGTCCAGTGAAAACATCCTAGATGAGAACCACAATGTTCTCAGATGAAGGAAAACCAAGAGAAATTGTCACCAGCACACCTTCCCTAAAATAATTGCTAAAGGAAATTCTCTAAATAGAAAAGAAGTGATTAAGAAATAGTGAAATACCAGGAGAGAAGAAACAACAACAGAGAGTAAAACTATGGGTAAGCACACTGCGCACTCCTTCTCCTCTTCGGTGTTTTTATTACATCTGACAGTTGGAGTGGAAATTACGGTGTTGGCCAGTGTCGTTCTCCATATGTGTAGAAGAAATTTTTAGACAATTATAAATGGGTATCAGCAGAGGTAACATGTTACACTTTAATCAAACTGGTCATAATCCAATACCAGTAATATAATGTAATACCTAGAGCAGCCACTGATAAGAATTATAGAGAGAGACACTTAAAAACACTAGATAAAGCAAGTGGAATTCTAAAAAAATGCTCAAGTAACCTACGGAAAGACAAGGAAGTAAAAAACAACACAATAGAAACAAAATGGGAGCCTTTAATATATCAGTAATTATATTAAATGTAAATTAAATTCAGCAGCAATTAAAACAGATTGTCAGGGTAAATTTTTTAAAATCACCTACCCATATGCTGTCTACCAGAAACTGTTCAAATATAACAATATAGACAACTTTAAGGTAAGAAGATGGAAAAATACATCATGTAAGCATTAGCAAAAAGAAGGCAGTGGTGGCAGTATTGAAATCAGGTAAAGTAGACTTCAGGGCAAATAAAATTATTACTGGCAGAGGGACATGGCAGAATGACAAAAATATCGATCCTCTGAGGAGATATAGCATTCCTAAATTTGTATTCACCAAACAGAAGAGCTACAAAATAGGTGAAGCAAAAGCTGATAAAACTGAAAGGAGAATAGACAAATCTGTGATTACTGTTTAAATACCACTCTCTAGACAGAGAATCAGCAAATGTATAGGACTCAGCCACACCATCAACCAATGGGACCTATTCAACATTTGTAGAACCCTCTGCCTAACAATGGCAAAGGACACATTCTTCTCAAGCACTCAAGGAACATGTACCAAGATCGACCACGTCCCAAGCAAACTTCTACAGATTTCAAAGCATTAAAGTCATAAACAGCGTGTTCTCTGACCAGAATGGTACCAAGCTAGAGTGAATAACAAAAGTATCAGACAGCTCTACAAACACATGGAAACTAAACAACACAGTTCTAAATAATGCATAGGTAAGAGAGTCTCAAAGGAAATGAAAAAATATATTACAATGTTAATTATATCTCATAAAGTTTTGGTTCTTCCTCCTTTTAAAAATATTTCAACAATGAAAATGAAGATAAACATCAAAATTTGTGGGGTGCAGCTAACATAATGCTCTAAGGGAAATGTGTGCATTGAAACATTTACATTAGAAAAGATGACTGTGTAGCCAAGGGAACTATCGTCAATATTTTGTAATAACTTACAATGGAAAGTGAATTCAAAAATAATATATGTGTGCATGTATAACTGAATCATCTTGCTGTGCACCTGAAACATTGTAAGTCAACTGTACTTCAATAAAATACTAAGAAAAGAAAAGATGAACTGTCTCAAATCAGTCATCTAAGCTCCTACCTCAGGAACCTAGAAAAAGAAGAGCAAAATAAACTGAAAGCAAAGAGAAGGAGGGAAAAATAAGGAGCAAAAATAAGTGGAATTGGAAACAGGGAAACAAAGTCAGTGATAAGGAAAAACCCAGCTGTTTGGAAATATAAAAAAATTGACAAACCTCTAGCAAGATTGTCAAAAGAAAGATAAGACACAAATGATCTGTATCAGGAATAAGGCAGGGCATATTCCTACAGACTCTTACAGATATATTTAAAAAATTCTTAAGGAAATAATACAGTTCTAACCACTGAAGTGTTGAGATATAGGTGAAATGGACCAATTCCTCTAAAAATACAGGCTACCACAACTCACACAATGTGAAATACATTATATAAATATCCCTATATAACTATCAAAGTGAATTCATAATTTAAAAGCTCCTCCAGAGGTAATCTTCAGGACCAGATGGTTTTACTAGAGGAAGCTACCAAGTGTTTTAAGAAGACTTAACACTGATTCTATACTGTCTTCTAGAAAATATAAATGAAAGGAACATTCCCCAGTGGATTTTAGGAGGCTAAAATGACCAAGATAACAAAATCAAGCAAAGACAGTACTGCAAAGAAACTGTGGATCAGTTACCCTCAATTATGGCCAACTCATTTTTGACGAAGGTGCAGAAGCAATTCGGTGGAGAAAGGATAGTCTTTTTTGCAAGTGGTACTGGGGCAGGGAGGTATTCATAGGCTAAGATATGGACCTCAACTGAAGTCTTACATCTTAGGCAAATAATAACTTAAAACAGACATAGATTTAAATAGGAACATAAAAAATATAAAACTTCTAGGGAAAAAATGTAGGGGAAAATCCTTGGGACTTACAGCTTGGTGAAGAGTTATACATTACACCACAGACGTGATCCATATAAGGAAGACAGTTCGATAAGTTGGACTTTGTCAAAACTAACATTGCTTGCTCTGTGAAAGACTGATAAGAGGATGACATGATAAGCTGTAGACTGGGAAAATGAACCATTGTTATACACAATAACTTGGATGGATCACAAAGATACATGTTGAGTGTAAAAAGCTAATCTCAAAAGATCCCTCCTGTATGATCCCATTAAGATAACATTTTACAAATGACAAAATTATGCAGATGGAAGACCTCCTGTTACTGGTTGCTAGGGCTGTCGATGGTGGGAGAAGTGAGGGGTGCATGTGACTATAAGTAGTGACTGGAAGGAGATCATTGTGCTGATGAAGCAGTTCTGTATCTTGGTTGTAGTGGTAGTTCTGTGAATCTGCACATGAGATAAAATGACGTCAAACTACACATGCTGTTTATCAATATCAATTTCCTGATTTGGTTATTGTACCATTGGTAAATATAATGTATTCTTAGGGGAAACTGAGTGGAAGGGTACGTGTACTTGCTGTCTGTGGAACTTCTGAAACGTATAATCATTTCAAATTTTCAAAATGAAAATTTAAAAGTTAAAATGATAAAATCTTATAATTGAAAGGATTTTGGATGGTCTCTGTCAAATTTTACTGTATCTCTCTGGCAACATCTTACTTAAAAGACGGATTTCACTTACAGATGGGAAAGCCCAGAAAAACACACACTGTAAAAGGTTTGTCCAGTGTGGAGTCTTAAAGATAAAAATATAGCATTAAATGCAAGATATGCTGATAGTGGTAACAGAAGCAGAAGATAAGTTTTTTTTTTTAAGTTGTAGAATTTGGAGTATTTTTTTTTCTTTAACTCTTCCTTTCCCCTTAGTTTCATTTTCTAAAGTATCTTTTTCATTACTTTCTAATATACATTAAATAGGTACATGCATACATAGAACATCTTAGGAAAGATAAATTGTTACCGAAACAGGAAGAAAAATTAAGGGAGACCTCATATAGGGACTGGTGAACTTAAACCACAAATACTAACCTTTGGTATCATTTGAGTTTTGTACCATTTAATTATCAAATAATAATATGAATTGTTACCTGATCCCTGTGTATTTCATTTCTTAAATTTAGGATTGTAAATAAACCAAAATATTGGTATTATTTGTGTTCATGTTAAACTGATACAATGACTTTCAATCTGACAAGATTCATAGAGTTGTTTTTATGTTCATGGATTTTTTCTTTAATCTGAAAATTTATATATCTAGTTAAAATAAAATTATTATTTTCTTCTAAGGCAAGCTAATTCTACTGTTAGAAGGGTATTGTTGTTAGGAAATACTGTGTGATTTTGCAGCCAAAATATCTATCTTAATTAATTGTGTGCTTTTTAAAAAAAGAACTGAGTATTCCCTTGAAGAAATGAGGGGTATTAATTACAGTGGTTAACTTTTCTCATAATTTCAGGGGAATCAAAGAAGAAATCTAGAATCTACAGTATCTCAGATTGAGAAGGAGAAAATGTTGCTACAGCACAGAATTAATGAATACCAAAGAAAAGCAGAACAGGAAAATGAGAAGAGGAGGAATGTAGAAAATGAAGGTAAATTGTTGCTTTTCCTTTGAAAAACACAAATTTCTAACATTGTCTTGAGGTCTTTGTCTTCAGGTTGTCTTAAATTTAGTGCCTACGATATATTTTTGAAGACTCAGTCCTAAGACCCCTCATGAGCTAATACCCATGGCCCAAGATAAATTTATAACATATTTAAAATCAGTAGTAATGTTGTAGCTAGGGTAGTGATTTTTACCCTTGTGTATGTATTAGAATCTCTTGGGAAACTTTAAAGAATACTAATGCCTAAACTCCAGAAGTTCTAATTTAATTCCCTCGATATGTAGACTGGGCATTAGTATATTTAATAAGCTGTCTCAGCACTTCTAAGAAGTAGCCACATTTGAAAACTACCAAACTAGAATTTTATGCCTCTTGATATCAGTGATACAAATTTAAAATAGCTTTCTACACCCTTTGATCCAGTTATTTCACTTCTAGTAGTTTATGTCACATACACTTGTGCACATGCATACTGATACATAAACAAAGTTATCAATTTTAGAGTTGTTTAAAATTGCAAAAATTATGAGCAATGTAAATGTAATCTGTGATATAATAAACTTTAGTGTATATGGTAGAGTAGATGCATTTTATAAGAATAAAGCATTTCTTTATAAACTTAGAATCCCTAAAATGTATCTTAAAAAATACTAATTGTTTAAAAGAAAATGGTGTTATCTATATATGCTTAAGTGCATATATATGTATGTATATATTTGTGTATATATAATGCTTGTGAAAACACACATTTGTGTTCTCATATATTCAGGTATGGATACAAGAAGTTATATATGTGCAAGAAGTTAGTAATAGTAATTGCTGAGGAGGAGAGCCAGAGGGGCTGGAAAACAATGCTGGGAGAAAGACTCGTGTCTATACTATATACCATTTGGTACCTTTTAAATTTTGAATCCTATTGAAAGTAATTAAAGTAAGCAAAGATTTGTACTTTCAAAAATAGAGAACATTAAAAGTAGCTTTGTATCAGGACTCCCCTGCTAGTCCAGTGATTAAGACTCTGTGCTTCCAAGGCAAGGGTGGGTTCAGTCCTTGGTTGGGGAACTGAGATTCCACATGCCATGCAGCATGGCCCCCCAAAAAAGAATACAGTAAAAAAGAAATAATAGCTATGTCATTTCACTAATAGATTAACCTTTATTAAAAGGATAGAAGAATTTGAAATATTATAACAGTGGACACAAATCTGTTTTTGCTTTGTGTATTATAAAACAGTACCCTACTTTTTAATAAATTTAAAATGTAAGTAATTCCAAGATGAAATTTAGAACTAATATAACAGGCTTTTATGGCCTAAGACAAAGTTTCCTGTTTTTTAAAAAGGGTTTTGTATATTTCCTCAATGAAAACTTACATGTTATTCCTTCATTTTCTAGTTTCTACATTAAAGGATCAGTTGGAAGACTTAAAGAAAGTCAGCCAGAATTCACAGCTTGCTAATGAGAAGCTGGCACAATTACAAAAGCAGGTAAGTTTTTGGAATGAGATTTTTTAATTAAAATAAATTTGTGTTTTGGTTAAAAAAAAAACCAAACTATTTTCTTGCTCTCTTTTTTAATTAGCTAGAAGAAGCCAATGACTTACTTAGGACAGAATCAGACACAGCGGTTAGATTAAGGAAGAGTCACACAGAGATGAGCAAATCCATCACTCAGCTAGAGTCCCTAAACAGAGAACTGCAGGAGAGAAATAGAATTTTAGAGAATTCCAAGTCACAGATGGACAAAGATTATTACCAACTGCAGGCTGTATTAGAAGCCGAACGAAGAGACAGAGGTCATGATTCTGAGAAGATTGGAGACCTACAAGGTAATATTTTTTCTTATTGTGGTAAAACAGACATTAAAACTTACTGTTTTAGCTATTTTTAATTGTATAATTCAGTGGCATAAAGTACATTCATGTGTTGTGTAACCATCACTACTGTCCATCGCCAGAACTTTTTTATTTTCCCAAACTAAAAAGTTGTACTCAGTAACTGCCCATTTCCCACTCCCCCGCAGCCCCTGGTAACCACCCTTCTACTTTATGTCTCAATGAATTTGACTACCTCATAGAAGTGGTACCTCAATATTTGTCCTTTTGTGTCTTAGTAATTTTTAAGTGTAAGGTAAAATATTTTTGATAATATTGTCCTGTATAGTACACCTGTAACTGATATAATATTTATATCTAGTATACTTCAATAAAACAAGAAAATGACCTTGGTAATACTGGAAGTGGTTAGCGTTCTTTCTCTTTCAGGAGAATTCATATCAAATTGTAATTTCTTCCCTCTCTCAGGTACCCTTGTGATGGAGGTAATGTGGTTATTTCCAATCTTACAGGCAGTTTACTGAAACCTTAATTTTTAAAAGGGTCCAATTCACAGAAGTCTTACTCAAAGTGGAACTAATCCAGGTAGAGAAGATTATCACTATTAAAACCTGGGATTCTTCATGCGTTGTTGGTAGAAATAGAAAGTAAACATCAGAAAGAGAATCCCACTGCAAATAAAAAATTCAGTACTTGGAAAGGTTAGAACTAGAGATATCAGCAGTCTTTCTGAGTCTAAAAGGAAAAAGATGGAATATAACTAACAGCGAGTAAAGGAATACTTTTGTCACAGTAATAAAATCGGTTTGTTTTCAACAGGATGCCTGGCTTTAACCATTTCTTTTTTTTTTTTCTATTTTCTGTTTCTGTAAGCGATAGCGTCCATACTACCTAATCAAAACAGACACGCTTGGAAGTTGCCAGATCTTTCAGGGAAAAGTAGGGGGTGGGGTGGTGCATTTTAACCTAAGTCACAGGATGGGAACATAGTTTGGAGTCTCCTGGGACTTGACGATTAGCTCTAATTCTGTGGCTAGAGGTCAGGGTCAGTTTTTGGACTTTAGAAACAGAAATTAGGGTCTTCCATTGGTTCTCAGCTGAGGAGTATTGCACAATCTTATTTCTCAGGGACTAGGCTTAAAATAGATATGAATACAACCAAGAAAGTAGCCTCATTATATGTATTAGAAAAGCCTCATATGCCACGTCCTTAAATTGCTTCTCTAGGCCTTATATACAGCTTATTAGCTGTGTGCATGTCACTTCATCTGCCTTCTTTATCTGTAAACCAAGAAGATTGGGTGACTCCTATAAATTCTTGCAATTCTAAAATTCTTTGTGTCAGTGATTTTCCAGATACTACTGAGCTTTGAAGTGCTTGCTTTTAAGGAAGAGACCATCATTATGTGTTTATCAACAGTGGTTTTAACTGACTGTTTAGATATTGATGAAGTTAAGGAAGATCATAGCATGACTTATCGTTGATGTGTATCATTTTTCAGTGCTTCCTTGAAGGTTTATTTTTTGATTTACATGTGAATCAAAGCTCATACACATTAAAAAATGTGCTGAATTTACATGAGCCTCAACATGCATATAAAAAGTACATTGTGGTAAAACACACACACATGCACACATAAAATTTTTACACTAACTTTTTATGGTTCTTAAGACAATTTGGATACCTCAGTATAGATCTTACAGTTTTGAGAGGCTGGTCTTGTGGTAAAGTGATGGTTATTTGCTAGTTGAATGCTCTCTGTGTACACTGATGAGCAGAAGCGTCTTCATGTGTGTGGGAAATGACTTCCCAAACATAATTGGACATTATATTCTTCAGATTTTGTGGGCCACATATGATCTCTGTTACATGTTTTTCTTTTTTTGCTGTTTACAACCCTTTAAAAATGAAAAAAAAATGCTTAGCTTCATGTCATATATCATAGTGTAATGTACTTTTGTTTTTAACTGTTACACAGGCATTTGGAAACCGTGTAACCATTTTTCTTGATATGTTTTTGGATTTGAGTTTTGGAAATAGTAGGTCAGTTTTCTAATCTAACCAGTGTTTTAAGATTACATTTATTCTTTGTCTCTTTGATGGGCCAAATTTTGAAACATGTTTGAAAAATAATCACTATGACTGTAGTTTTTTTTCATTGCCCTGTTGTATTTCTAACTGCTTTTGTTTATTTTTTTTATTGAGGTGAAATTCATATAACCTAAAGTTAACCATTTGAGAGTGTACAATTCAGTGGCATTCAGTACATTCACAGTCTAGTTCCAAAACATTTTCATTAACCCAGAGGAAAACTTTTTGCCCATTCAGCTGTCCTTCCCTGTATGACCCTAGCAACCACTCAGCTGTCCTGTATTTCCGAATTTACCTGGTCTGGATATTTCATATAAATGACATCATATAATTTATGACCTTTAGTTCAGGCTTCCTTCACTTAGCTTATTTTTAAGATTGGTTGATGTTGTACCATGTATCAGTACTTCATTCATTTATGGCTGGGTAATATCCTGTTGTATGTGTATATATATTCCATAATTTATTTAGCTCTTCATCTGTTGATGGACATTTGAGTTTTTTCACCTGTTGACTGTTATGAATAGCACTGTTGTGAAATTCAGGTGCAAGTATTTATTGGAATACTTTCAAATCTTTTGGATACGTAGGAGTAGAATTGCTGGGTCACGTGGTAATGCTCAGTTTAATTTTGAGGCACTTCCAGACTATTTTCCATAACAGCCACATCTCATTTTATTTCCACCAGCATTGTTTATCATTTTAAGTTTCCACCATCATTGTCTCATTGTGGTTTTAACTTTAATTTTCCTAGTGAGTAATGAAGTTGAGCAATCTCTTCATGTGTTTATTGGCTATTTGTATATTCTTTTTGGAAAGATGTCTGTGCATGTCCTTTGTGCATTTATTTTTTTGTCTTCTTGTTGTTGACTTTTAACAGGTACTAGACCTTACCAGGTATATGATTTGTTCATATTTACACCTCTTTTGTAGTTTGTCTTTTCATTTTTCTTAATAATGTCCTTTGATGTACAAAAGTTAATTTTGATGAAGTCCAGTTTAAAATATGTTGCTTATGCTTTTGGTGTCGTATCTCATCATACATTGCCAAATTCAGGATCATGAAGATTTACTCCTGTGTTTGCTGTAAGTTGTGTGGTTTTAGCATTTATATTTAGGTCTTTGACTAACTTGAGGGCTTCCCAAATGGCGCTAATGGTAAACACTCTACCAGCCAATGCAGAAGACGTAAGAGGACAAGGGTTCGATTCCTGAGTCAGGAGGATCCCCCAGAGAAGGGAATGGTAGCACATTCCAGTATTCTTGCCTGGAGAATCCCATGGGCAGAGAATCCTGGCGGGCTCCAGTCCATGGTGTCGCAAAGAGTCAGACACAACTGAAGCAACTTAGCATGCGTGAATCTGGTTGTCCCATTACTGTTTGTGGGAGAGCCTGTTTTCCTTCACTGGTTGGTATGGGCATCCTTGTTAAAGGCAGCTGGCTGTGGGTGTACACTTTCGTCTCTAGAGTCTCGGTTTTATTCGCTTGGTCAGTATGTCTGTCCTTACGCCAGTAACATACTGTTTTGGTCACTGTAACTTTATAGCAAGTTTTGAAATTGCAAGTTTGAGTTCTTCAGTTTCATTGTTCTTTTTCAGTACTGTTGTAGCTATTCCAAACTGCAAGTAATAAATAAATTTACTACTTGAAAATTTAAAGCTTTTTTTTTTTTTAATCTTAATGATCATGCTGGGGAAAAAGGATTTCTCTCTCAGTGACTGTGATTTGAACTTTTTTCTCACTTGACAGCTCGAATTACATCTTTACAAGAGGAGGTGAAGCATCTCAAACATAATCTTGAAAGAGTGGAAGGAGAAAGAAAAGAGGCTCAAGACATGCTTAATCATTCAGAAAAGGTAAATGATTTAATGTATACTAATTATGAGATAGTTTTACTGATTACCAGATATTGTAAGGTGATTTTCTAAGAGACCATTCATTCCTAATCTTTATATGTTTACATTTCTAAAAATTTTTATGATTGGTTGGTGTGTGATGTATGTGGACCTTATTTTGAGCCTTTTAGGGTGTTATTTGGAGAAGGCAGTGGCACTCCACTCCGGTATTCTTGCCTGGAAAATCCCATGGACAGAGGAGCCTGGTAGGCTGCAGTCCATGGGGTCGCTAAGAGTCGGACACGACTGAGTGACTTCACTTTCACTTTTCACTTTCATGCGCTGGAGAAGGAAATGGCAACTCACTCCAATATTCTTGCCTGGAGAATCCCAGGGACGGGGGAGCCTGGTGGGCTGCCGTCTGTGGGGTCGCACAGAGTCGGACACGACTGAAGCGACTTAGCAGCAGCAGCAGGGTGTTATTTATTTGTTTTTATCCTTGAAGGGTATTAGATATCTGATCATCACAAATTGCGTTGGTTTGGAGATATCTCTCCATGTAGAATTTTTCCCCATTTTTTGTACATGGGAAAGATGAAAATATTGAACCTTACCAATTATGAAGAAGGAGAACAAAGGATTAGTATATAGCACTGTGTGTGCTTTTTCCATTTTGTTGGTAAGAGTTAGCAATATAGTAAAGAGTGTACATAAAGTATTGACCTTTGGCTGTAGAATTTTCTTTTCAAAAAATGCCATTGGTTATCCTCTGTCCTTACCTTGCTAAGACAAGGATTAAATAGGTAATATGCAGATTTAGCATACCTCCCTGAAATGTTGTAGGTTTATTAGATCCTCAGGTAAACGATCAGAAAATTCACCACTTACTTGTCCTTTGGACATATTTTGTGGCATTCAGAAAAGCTTTTTGATGTCTAAGACTGGTATTAATTTGGAAACAGGATGAAAGAAGAAGAGTAGAAGCCCCCAAACAGGAATGGAATACATGTTAACTCAGAGCAAGATAAATCTAGGTGTAAATGCAAATGTAAATAGAGACTAGTTTTTTAAGTGGTAGCAAAAAATTTTAAATGAACTGAAGAATTGTCCTGTTCATTTCTGATCCTGTCAGTGAACCCTCCTGAATATAATAGAAATCTGCCTTGCCATCAGCCATGGCTAATGATTCACATGGGAAAGGAGGGTGGAGGGCACAGAGAGGTGATATTTTGTTTTTAATTATATGTGCTTATTGTGATTTTTAAAGTAAGATACTATAGATAGTGTGAAGTGCACAAGAAGTATAAACATAAAATTATGTTCGGAGTAAAAGTATTTAAGTACATATAATCAAGCCAATATGATTCATATATTATCTCTTAGGAGATAAAATTAATGTAAGATTTAATGATTTGCTTTTTGCACAGTGTAGTACTTGACTCTCATTCTCATTTTACAGGAAAAGAATAACTTAGAAATAGATTTAAACTACAAGCTTAAATCATTACAGCAACGGTTAGAACAGGAGGTAAATGAACATAAAGTAACCAAAGCTCGTTTAACTGACAAACATCAATCTATTGAAGAGGCAAAGTCTGTTGCAATGTGTGGTAAGTGTCAGTTTTAATATTTTTTGCGTGCTTAGTTTTTAAATAATGACAACAAAGGTTTTTCATTTTGATCAAATTTCATTGTGTAGTAGTTTAAACTCTTAGACATTATAAATGATGATCCGGGAAAGGGGGGGGGCCTCCTTTTTTTTCATTTTTGATGCATTTCTTTTTTTAAAATAAGTTTCACCTGCTAGTTCCCTTACTCCACCATGTTCTGCTCCCTATACTACCCTCCTCTCGCTGTAAAAGTCAGTGTATTTTCATTTCTCCCAGTTTTTCAGCCCCTTCCTTTGTTTTCTTTGAAATCCATTCTGGAACTCATTGTTGATTCACCTTTCTTGCTTTGTATCTTCAACTCTGTTATTTCTTTGTATTTCCACTGAATTATGCCTCTAAATGCAACCCTCAATCAGACCAGCGAGTGGCTTTTCATTGCTTCAGCTAGTTCTTTAGATGGGTGTTATCTCAGTGCATTGTCTGCAGCCTCAAGTGAGCTGTTGTTTTATATATGTCACTCATCAATTCCTTCTCCTAAATTTTTCTTTCTCTCCTCTAGCTTCCTATGCCATGTCTTTATCACTTTGCTTTTTGGTGAACGTTCTCCTGTTTCAGAAAGAAACTGTGAAGTCATAAACTTGAACTACTCAGAATCTAATTCTCTGACTTGGTCAAGCTGTCCTGCTCCTTTACCATCTTCATTATCATCTCTCTCACCTTAGCAGAGTGTGATCCTTTTCCTTTCCTTGCTAATATGCTCCACCTATACTCAGATCCAGTCTCTTATCGCAATTACTTTTTTCCCCCTTTATTCTCAACCTTTTTCCTCCACTGAATCCCTTCTTGTTGTTAACACATATCTTTCTCATCTCTTTAAAAAAAAAAAAAAAGGACAAACCATTGGAGCAACCTGTGGTCCTTCCTAATTGCCACTATTTTATTCCGTCCCTTTATAGCCAGATTTCTAAAAAGATGTCTTCCTTTTCTTCACCTTCTACTCACTTCTTAACCTATTGTAAGCTGAAGTGTCACCTTAAATTCAGTTTATTCAAGAGATAAACTTGTGATCTTATCTGTCAAACGGGTCTCTTCCCGCTATTCTTACTATATTGGTTGATGATTATCTTGTTTTTATGAGCCCATGCTTGTAATCAGACAAATCTACTTTGCCTCTTAACTTCTCTTATGACTGTTTAAAAAAATTAGATGGGGAAAATGCACTGAAGTGCCTGTACACAGAAAGCTTTCAGTAAATGGGAAATATTATCATGACTATGGATGATAGTGATATTCATCATCCAAGCTGGAAATCTGGGAGTTATTTAGAAAAACCCCATTCTGGTGGTTTCTGTTTTGTCACCTAGACAGGACAGCCTGAAAGCGAGATAACAGACTTAATAAATTTGAATCCTGATGGTACAACTCAAGGGTTTCAGGACCCTAGTAAATTAACCTCTAGAACCTTAGTTCTTGATGTTGATCAAGAAAGAAACCTCACTAGAGACTGGTATCTTCTGATAATAATTAAAATAAGTATTATATTATCATGGAATCTTTTTTATATGCGTTGCAAAAATTAAGTTTATATCACAGCCTTGAGCCTCTTGAAATTTTTGTGGAACAGTGCTAGGTATACATTAATAACCACAACTTTATTCATTTATTTTTTCACTTTTGTCTAACTACCTCCATTTTTCTCCTTATACACTACTTTTTTTCAAGCTGTACTTTCATATCATTGGGCAAGTGTTGGATTTGGAAGATTTGTTACATTTTTATGACTCTCTTCCTTTAAAGATCCCACTATACAAGTAATTCATAATGTTAGAACTTCAGTAATGAATCTTTCAGAAGATCCCAGGATGTTAACAGTAGGGGGTTTTGACACCTAGATGTCTTATACAGCCCACCAAAGTTTTAAAGTAATCTGTTTTGTTAAATGTTTATTTGTAACTTTTTCTTTCACAGAGATGGAAAAAAAGCTGAAGGAGGAGAGAGAAGCTCGAGAGAAGGCTGAAAATAGGGTTGTTCAGATTGAGAAGCAGTGTTCTATGCTAGATGTTGATCTGAAACAATCTCAGCAGAAGCTGGAGCATTTGATTGAAAATAAAGACAGGATGGAGGATGAAGTAAGAAAAATAATTCTGACTTTCATTCATCTTATAGAGGAGAAAATCATTGTTATGACTAAAAAGTCAGTATAATTTAAACATGGTGGAGATTTAAATAAAATTACCTACATATATCTGTGTTCACTGCTATAAGGTACAGAATAAGATAGTTCTGGGGTTGACCTCCGTGGAACTTGCAACCCAAAGGGAAAGACAGATAGTAACATTGTCATGACAAGCATGACATACTTAAAAAGGACGTACCAAGTTAGGAGTATCAGGGCTAATCATGTTTGGAGGTTAATGGAGACCTCACTAACGGTTTGACATTTAAGAGCTGAAGAAGGAATAAATGAAGAGGGGAAGACAGAGAATAACCTGTGCAAGCACTGTGCAGTGATGGAGAGTATATCACACTGGAAGGTCTGAGCAGTATGATTGGACTCAGAGAATGGCCAGGGACAGCACCAGAAAAGTAAACAGCAGATCATGAGGGAAATTGTAACCACTGTAAGGATTTGGAGCATTTTAGTCCTCATGTCCAGTAAGTAGTTAATAAATATTTATTGAATTGAATTAAATATATGTTCAAGTTTTGGGGGTACTTTGCAGGGCTATAGATTAGAGCACAAACATTTATGAATAACTAATAAATTTAAGTACCATTTAGGAATGTCCCTCCAAAAGTAACTATTATACTCACCTTTTCCTCCAGAATTTCCATACAGGTACCATACAAAAAAAAAACAGATTTTTTTTCCCTCCAAGATTTCATATCTGAAATTTGGGAATTAATTTGATTTAACTCTAAATTCTGCAGTAATAAATGCATAAAACAGTGGAGACCCTTTAGAATACAGTTATTTTCTGTTTGTATAAGGAAATAGTGTACTTGAGGTTTGATTAGTATTCCTTCAAATAATGTCTAATAAGTTATTAAACAGATTTTATAATCCCAATTATTTTTCTCATTCATAGGTTAAGAATCTAACCCTGCAGCTGGAGCAGGAATCAAATAAGCGACTGTTGTTACAAAATGAATTGAAGACTCAAGCATTTGAGGCAGACAATTTAAAAGGTTTAGAAAAGCAGATGAAACAGGAAATAAATACTTTATTGGAAGCAAAGAGATTATTAGAATTTGAATTCGCTCAGCTTACAAAGTAAGTCTCGGAAATAACATTCTTGATTTCTTTTTTGTGTGTGTTCAGCATTTGCGTATGTGTTTGATATTTTATATGTGTATAGATTATGTACTTAGAGTTTGTGAAATGAAGATTTAGGAAAAAAACGTTTAGAAAAAATAAAAGAATTTATTTGCAAAGAAGGTTTGCAAGGGAATTCAGGCTTTGGAAGGGCAGACTTACTTAAAAAAATGCAGTTATTACAGGGGGAAAAAAGATATTGTCAGGACTATTGACTTTACAATAAGTCTGTTTATGGTAGAAAAACAGTTTTTTTGTATGATTTCCATATCCACAAAAATCATCTGTCATCACACTAGAATTAGAAAAATCAGGAGTATTTTATTATGGATTAGTACCTTACAGAAAATATTCAGGTTTACTTTAGAGACTGGAATTAGACATGATGACCCCGTGTGTTTGTTTTCTTTGGTTCATCTCAGAATGCAGAGTGTCCTTTTTCTCTATTCTTGAGATGTGATGTGTCTGCTTACTTGAAATAGAGACACACCAGGGTGTCACTGTGATTTTCAGAATTTGTGTAAGGACATGCTTCAGAGATTTAATGTGAAAGATGAGGATGCCTTAAGCCAAGTCATAGGATTTTATTTCCTCCAAATTTATGTTATAATACCTTCATTTGCCAGCTTCATGTACAACACTGTAACTCTTGTGTAGAATTGTCTCTCTTAATTTTGTTGACTTTATGTTGGTGAAATTCTTTTTCCTCTTTAGAGCCACTGACTTGCACTCAACATTTAGCTAATAATTTCTGTCAACCATATGGTGAAAGTAAAAAGCTTTTACCATCTAATATGAAAACCCAGCAGCTGCAGATGGAATTGTTCACCGTTCAATAGCTGTGTGTTGGGTTGCATTGTGTATCTGACTTTTGAGTCCTTTCCTCTCTGTGAGTGGTGTTTACATATATATATATTCTATATATGTACATCTCAGTTTATCTGTGTTACTCCTCCTTTGTCAGCTGTTGTTACTGCCTCCCTTCTTATTCCATATCTGAGTATTCATTTCCACCCCACCCTTGTGCTTGCTTAACCATAAAATATAGTACTAAATTTTTCTTATCATTTATTTAATATGTTCATGTTTTTAATAGTCTACTTATTGCATTAGACATTTTAAATGTATCCCTAAGAAAGCTGTTCTCTAAAAAAATTTACCAAAAAAATATCATTTTACTTTTGCATTTGGATTCATCCACAGTTAATATTCTCCTGAAAGTGAACTTCAGTAGAAAAATGTTTCCTCTACTTTTCATAGTATCATTTTTTACAAGGAGCAAAATGGCACCAGACAGTGTGTCCTAATCAAATATAGCTAGTTAAGTAATACTGAATAACAAAGTAGGATTTTTTTTAAAACAGAGATTATTTTGGTAAACCTTTTTGTTTTAGCAACTTTAAGAAGCAAAAGTCTAGTAAGAGAAGGGGCATTTGTTTACCGCTTTCTCTTTCATCTGAAGGCAGTACAGAGGGAATGAAGGGCAGATGCGGGAGCTGCAGGATCAGCTGGAAGCGGAGCAGTATTTCTCGGTGAGAATCACTTTTAACATGTAGACTGTTTCCATAGCTGACTTAACAAGGGGTTTAGATGTTTAATGTGAGCTGTGATCCTATCTCAAATGACTGTGAAGTAGTTTTCTCCTGTTGTATATCCCCTTCTCCACATTTCATTTCTGAATCTGTATTGGTAGTCTAAGTTATAAAGAAATGACTGTTTTTGTGCAAATATTTCCAGAATTGCTTTCAAACTGGAGCTACTTCGAAGAGTCTGTTAAGAGTTCTGTCTGCCTGGTAACAAGCTCTGGTGGGTTAGGGTGCCCAGGATTATCACGTGTGGTTCATGTGTGCACATCACAGTGGCCTTCGTACATATATGTGTAGCTCTCACCGCATACAGTTGTAGGTATAACTAATGTTCAAGAGCTTTTTCCTGTTTTGGCTCTGTGTGCACTTTATGAATCTGTTATGCTTTTTCTCCATAAGAATCATTTTCTTTTTTTACTACAGGCCAGCTTATTTTCAGTACTACTGTCGATGAGCATTTGTAGCTATTGCTTTGAGGCTTTACTGAAAACTCTGAATTTTTTGTTGCCAGGCTTGTGCCCTAACATTTCAGTTTGATGTTTATCTAGCTGCTCTGTTTCTGTCACTGGCAAGCCACACTTACTGTGGGCTTTAAGCAGTGTGATTAAATGCACAGAGTTTGAGTTGCTCAGCTGAATATGCCCTAGAAACCAAGTGTGAACAATATTGGAAGTAATGATTTCCTCAGTAAAAAACCTGGATACTGTTAGAGCTCTATGGAATTTTATGCAGTTACGAGTGGTGACTTTTCCATTTTTTTGTCTGTTTCTTCTTGGCTTATTATACAATCCCTGGAATATGTTTTTAAATTTAAAAAAAAATTCAGGATTGTTGAAAACCTTTTCCCTGAATGTAAATTAGCCTTCATTTTTACAGTGTGTGTGGGTGACTTCTGCACAGTGGTCTATAATATCAAGCACACGTTCCTGTCCGTAGACTTCCACAGGATAATCTTTCAGTGCCTCCATATTTGGGGATGGATGTCCAATTGATTTGTGGTGGTTCTTATGGATTCTTGATTTTTGCCTCTATAAAACAATACAAACTATTAACTGTCTTTAGTTTTGGTTATTCTCTTGCTTGTGAGGACTGGGTTAGATGTTGCTAAATTTGATAAGTTATTATGAGCTGAATTTAAGATTTTCTTTAATTTTGGCTTTCAGATCAGGTTATTTTTATTTCTTCATTGATTCCACATATAAATTTCAGTAATTGAAGTCGGAGAAGTGAGAATCTGATTACTAAAGGCAGAATGGACTATTTCATTTTAGAAATTGTAAACAAACCAGAGCTAGCCATCATTTTTCTTTCAGTTGAATTCTTGTAGAAATGTATTTTTCCCCTAGAGAAGTGCTGTTTCTCAGAGGGATAATTAAGTATACAATGTAAAAGTCATATTCCACAGCTGTTTGCTGGTCCTCACTATTTTTTCCTTATCTTTTAAACTAAAAGGTGGTGTTAAAAAAACAGAAATTGACTTCACAATTGGAAGTTTATACTCTATAACCGCCTCATCTATTACTGTGAAATAAAACTGCAATGAAAATTCATGTTACTATGAAATAAAACTGTAATGAAAATTCATGTGTAAGACTTTGTATAGATATATATTTTTACTTGTCTTCGGTAAATTCTTCAGAGTGGAGTTGTTAGATCATATGTTAATTGTTTAACTTTATAAAGAACTGCCAAATTGTTTTTTAACCCCATCAATACACTTATTTATTATTTTCACTTGTTTTGCAGACACTTTATAAAACCCAGGTAAAGGAACTTAAGGAAGAAATTGAAGAAAAAAACAGAGAAAACTTAAAGAAAATACAGGAACTACAAAGTGAAAAGTATGTCCATTTTACTTTGGAACAAGAATCAGTCCTACAGCAAAGATTTCTTAACTTTTAAGTTTAAACATAGAGAGTAGATGGGTCTTTATTCTTATGGCAGTGAAATAGCAAATCTTACTGGCCTAGTTCAGAACAAGTCAAACTAAATTTTTACTAAATTTGCCTTTATGGTGAAGAAATAATTTGGTACTTTAACACTATAGGAGTTGTACAGAGATTCACTAAATTGTGACAGGAAATTGTTTTCAAAGGTCTCCCAATCTTCAGACATCTGTTTGTATATAAATAGTTCATGTAGTATTTGCAAGTTGTAATTTTTATGTTAGGTAAAGATATTTAGGGTTTTCCTCTTAGTATTATAAGGCAGGTTAACTTCTATTGCATGTGTGCTTAGGGCTTTACAAGGAGGCAGTCTTATAAAGCTGTTAAGTTTAATAACTGCGCATAGCTGGATAGTATAAAAACAGACATTGAAGCTAGTTTTCTCACATTGTCGTATGTATAAAAACAGACATTGAAGCTAGTTTTCTCACATTGTCGTATTGTTGTATGTCTTATCTTTTCCTCCCTCCTCAAATCAACAACTTCTTGTTCTTATTCTCAGCAAATAGTCTTGTTTCCTGAAAGTCATAGGACATCTACTCTCTTCCACTGACAAACCACTGACCTGTCTGCAGCTGTACCTGTAAACCCTACCTTCCTTCTGATTCATGAAAATAGACAAAATTAACATGAGGTGACCTAAAAGGCAGCGCTTTGATCTCATCCCTTTGTGCCTGTGACTCCGATTATTCTCTCATCTTTACGTCATTTCTTTTTTTTTAGTTTTTCTTGGAGTGCTGTTGATTTACAGTGTTGTGTTAGTTTCAGGTGTACAGCAAAGTGAATCAGTTACACTCCTCCATCATTTTTTTCCTTTCCGTAGTCATTTCCATTGTTACATAAGCATAGAGGTAAACATTTTCTTAAAAAATAACCTCCTTTTCTTTTAACGGTCTATCTACTTACAGATAGCAACCTATTTTTTTGCTTCCTTTTGTAGCAGACTTCCTTGAAAAGTGACATACCATTTACTTTCAGGTTCTCTTCTCTTATTCTTTCTTGAGCTCATTCAAAACTTTGCACCCATTACTCTACGAGAATAACCTTTTTCAAGGTCACCTGGGGCTTCCTAATAGTTAAGAACTGTAGTCAGTTCTTAACTATTTATCTTATTTAATAGCAGCAGTAGGCATCATTGATTACTCTCTCTGAATTTGCTTCAGTTGGTTTCTGTGACACCGAACTCTTTTCCACCTGTTGAACTGTCTCCTCTTCCTCACCCGTCTTTGCTCCTTTGTCGTTTCCCATCTCTGAGACCTTTAAACTCGGGAGGGCCCAAGGGATCACTCTCTGCTTGTTCTCATCCAGCCTAATGGCTTTAAATAACATCAGTGTGCAGGTATATTCTCCCTTGAATTCTAGACTTGTAAATCCAGCTGTCTGACATCTCCACTAGAGTATCTAACAAGCATATCATATATGACATGTGCAGAAGAAACGCCTTACTCCCCAGCCTTCTCCTTGCTGCCTTCCCCATGTCAATATTAGCTGTTTGTTAGTACTAGTTGCTTAAATCCAAAAGTTGGCGTCATCTTAGACTCTTCTTTTTTTCTTACATTCTGCATGCAGTCCATCAGTATATCCTAGCTGTAACTAAAAAGCCTGTCCAGAATCTGATCATTTTCACCACTTTCCATCATTTACCAACTTGATCCAAATTGCCATCATCTCCAGTCTTGATTATTTCAGGTGTCTCCTTACTGCTTCTGCTCGCTGCTTCTGCCACTGTATTGCCGCTTCTGCCGTTGTCCCCCTACTAAGTCTGATTTTAACCAGCAGCCTGAATGATCTCTTTAAAATGGAACACTCAGAGTAAAAGCCAGAGTCCCTCTGTTGTTTTAGAAAGCCTTCTAACACTTGTTCTTTCTCCCCAATTCACTTATCACATCTCACAACCACCCCTGACACCCATCACATTAGCTTCCTTCAGAACATTTCTTATTAGATGTTTCCTTTGCCTAAAAGCATTCCCAGATACTTGCGTGGCTCCTCTCTTCCTTCTTTTATTTTCTCAAATATCAGCTTAGCAAAGAGGCATTCTTGATCGCCCTCAATAGAATAGTGACCACACCTTACAGCCACTTCACCTTTCCTTTTATTGTTCTCTGTGGCGTACTGTGTATCGTTCATTTCTTTAAATTGCCTCTCCTTGCTAATATATGCTTTCTGAGGGCAAGGAGTTTGTTACTGCTGTATGCCTTAAATCCCAGAACAGTGTTTGGCACATAGGAACTTTAAATATTTGTTGGACAAAAGAATGGATATTATTACTATTTTTTGTAGTTACTATATGTCTTCCTCTTTAGGCTTGAGGCAGAAAATTTTATTTGTATTACTTCCTTAATAGAAAGTAGGTGGAAGTCATTCATTTATTTAATAAACATTTATTGAGCACCTACTGTATGTGCAGGTTACAGTTATGACCGAGATAACTTATCAAAGACAGTTTCTCTTCCTAGGAAGAGCAGGCAGACTGCAGTGATCTGGTTGTGGTCCGAATGTCAATTCTGAAAGGCTTTAAAGAGTTATTCCCGAGGAGCATTCCTAGAATAGTTATAGTGGTTTGCAAATCTATTTATAAATCTTCATAATCTCATTAAATTTCAGAGCTGGAAGGGACCTCAAAAATAATGTAGCTTAATCCTCTCATTTTATGGATTTGATTAAGTTGAGTTCTTATAACTGTAAGGAACTTGCCTAGTGTCCCTACCCAATGGGATAGAATGGCGATAGAAGGGGATCAGGGTCTAGGTCTGGCCTCTTGATTTTACAAGCCAGTGACTTCCCCACTGGGCCATGCTGTCTTTCCTTCGAGATCCCAGCAAATTCCTTTTTAGGAGTAGACTGCTTGCCATTGTTCTATTACCTTTTCTTAGTTAAGCAAGATAACACGTACAAAATTTTAGCATCCTTTTTCAAAGTGTGAGAGATTACTTTTCTAGAAAGTTTGTAATGGGTTCAGGGTTTGTTTCAAGCAATAAAGTACTTAATTCTTTTATCATTTAAATAGAATTGTGTTCTTAACCATATAGTTAAGTTGGAAGAATGAATTGAATTTGTTTATACTCATCTCTGTCTTAAATCTACCAGAGAAACTCTTGCTACTCAGTTGGATCTAGCGGAAACAAAGGCTGAATCTGAGCAGTTGGCTCGAGGGCTTCTGGAAGAGCAGTATTTTGAACTGACCCAAGAAAGCAAGAAAGCTGCTTCAAGAAATAGACAAGAGATTACAGATAAAGATCACACTCTTAGTCAGGTAAGTGATAGTTAGCCAAGTTATGTGATTAAAATTAATTGAAAAATCTAAACAGGCCACATTTTAAAGTGTTTGGGTAAGTGTATGTGCATGAGTATTTCCTTACACACAATGGTCTACTTATATGCATATATAAAATAGTTTATATAATCTAAAACAATTGTTAATAATTTAAATTCTTACTCAGTATATTGGATTTTTTCCCCCTTTCTGGTTATAGATCTTAATATAGGTTATATGAAGAAATACTTAACCTTAAATTCATTTGCTTTATTATCTTAATAAATTGCAACTGATTTCATGGCCAAAATTCTATAAAATCCAGAGATGCTCTTTTGGGATGTGGATATCCACAAAAATTCTTTGTGGATATCTACAGATCCATTATAGAGAAACCATTACTACTAACAGTTGTCTATTCCTGAAATGTATAGTATGGTCAATAGATTATGGGGCTAGAAAGGGGAATTAGAGTTTTCTTCTTGGTGGTAAAGCCACCATCAAGTGCTCTATTGTAAGTAGATCTGGGTTCAAACCCCAGCTTTCCTCCTAAGAAGTTACGTCATCTTGGCAGTTTGCTTTGACTTCTTCAAGCCTCAGATTCTTCACTATAAAATAAAAATACCTATGTCATAGGATTCTTATGAAGATTAAATGCAGTCATATAAATAGAATGGAAAACAATTAAATTACTGAAAGTAATTGTTGGAGGGCAGAGAGAATGAAAAGTGCCCACTGAACTGAGAAGGTATCTTTAGACTAAAACGGCAAGATAGGCAGCTCTGTACGGTCTTTGGACAGGTTAATATGGGTCCAGTACTCACGGAGTTTCGGGCAGACAATGATCTAGAAGCATTCCCGGCTGCACTCCACACCACCAAAGGACCATTGGGACAATTTTATAGTTAACCTAAGGTTTAGGAGGTATGTGCTTAAAAATAGAAAGTGTGTTCCTAAGTCAAGATTTATGAATGGGTCACTAGTCTTGTGGGAATCAGGAATATGTCAGCAAAAGTCTTCATCATTGTTTGGGGACTACAGAGCATAGAGGCCACTTCTGATTATTAAATAATATCTACTACCTACAAAGCCCTTGATGACAAAGAAGTGATTTTATCACACAGTGCAGTCTGGGTAGGGTCAGGGAAGGAATAAACGGGGAGGAAATATATGGGCCCATAGTGGTATCATTTATGCTAATAGCCATATGGTAATCAGTCAAACATTTTAAATTGTCCTTTTTGTCACCATTATTCAGATGAAGAAACTGAGGCCCAGAAAGATTGTGACTTGCTGAGGGTCACAGAGACAGAACTAAATGCACATTTCTTAGTTTTTAGTCTTATTCTTATTACGTTTTGTATTCCTTTCATTTGTATGACTATGTATGTATACATGCACATTGAAATAATTTTTGGAAGTTAACAGTTACTCTAAAATATTTTCAGTTACTTCCACATATTTCAAATTGGAAACCAGACATTTTTATAGTTAAGCAGTGTCTGACCTGTCCTTGTCTGTGGAAAATGCAAGTATTTGTTTAAACATTATTGTTTTCAATATGAGAGTAGCAAAGAGATTATACAACTTCAGCCTTTCTGTGTTTTGTTTAGCTTGAAGAAACGAACAGCATGCTAACCAAAGATATTGAATTATTAAGAAAAGAAAATGAAGAGATAACTGATAAAATGAGGAAGGCAGAGGAAGGTATGTATGATTCTTAAAAAAAAACTGTAACGTTAAAATCAAGTTTAGAGGTAAATCTTTGTTGCGTGTTAGGGTTTTGAAGAATTTGTCTTCATATGTTAAATAACTTGTGTAGCCTTAAGTATTATCTTGAATAGAGTTAGTCACTCCGTTGTGTCCGACTCTTTGCGACCCCATGGACTATAGCCCACCAGGCTCTTCTGTTCATGAAATTCTCCAGGCAAGAATACTGGAGTGGGTAGCTGTGCCCTTCTCCAGGGGATCTTCCTGACCCAGGGATCGAACCCAGGTCTCCTGCATTGCAGGTGAATTTTTTCCTGTCTAAGCCACCAGGGAAGCCCCTAAGTATTATCTTAGGGAACTTAAATATTCTCACCATCACTCCCCCAACAAAAAGGTGAATATATGAGGTGATGTATGTGTTAATTAAATTGATTGTGGGGGGATCCTTTCACAGTGTATACATATATCAATTCTTCACATTGTACATTTTAAAATCTTAAAATTTTATTTGTCTGTTATACCTCAATAAACTGAAAAAAAGAATTATTTAATGAAGTCACTGAAAGTTACTACGTAGTATATACTAATTTGAATAATGAAGGACATTGTTAGTTTGCAAGGCAGAAATTAATGGCATATATGACATTTTATATAATTTGTTGACAGAATATAAATTGAAGAAGGAGGAGGAAATCAATATCCTTAAGGCTGCCTTTGAAAAGAATATCAATACAGAACGAACCCTTAAAACACAGGTATACATGCGCTCAGTCTTCCCCATATATTTGTATTTGAGTATCATATATTCAGAAGTTAATATTTGCTCCTCATGTCCTTTTTCTTAAAATGGAGATTGTCAAGTCATTGGAACAAATAATGTAATATTCTTTCTTCATTAAATGTAGAAGTCTTATTCAGGAAATAGAATTTCAGTTGAGTTAAGAAAGCTAATTTGTCTAGTTATCTGATTAGTAAAAAATATGTTTTAGATTGTATGGAGGACCCATAATTGACAGTAGGAGAACTTAATGAGGAGAAAGCATATGCTTGACTGAAGTCAAGAGAGAAGAATGACAAGAAAGAGAAGAATGGGGAATAAGAAACTTAAAAGGGGTGAATGTATCATTTTGCTTTGTATTTTGCAGCTAAAACTTGGTATCTTATCATTGTACTCAGTCATCCAGTAGTTTTAAATTCTTCAAAAGGTACTGTGTACCTCAGTTGATTTTTTTTTTTTAATTACAGTAAAATATTTTGTACTTATAGCTCTTTACCACTAATTTACTCTCAGTAATCCTTCAACTAAAGTAATTTTTCAAAAATGCACTTAATAGTCATTGAAAATCCTTCAGTGGAGATTTTACTTCTCTCTGTAAACATAGACCATGAAGAAAAGACTGACATTTATTCTTGGACATACTCCAAAAGAATGTAAGTTGAAAAAAAATGAACTAGGACGAGTATTTATAGCATATATGGATAAATATAAAGAGGATCTGCAAATAGGAAAAAAGACAGTTCAGTAGAAAAAAGAAAAAGCCAAGGGACACTGGAGAAAAAAGAAGCAGTGAAGATTGTTTTAAAAGGCTCAAACGTAGGGACTTACTGGTGGTCCAGTGGTTGAGACTCTGTGCTTCCACTGCAGGAGGCACGTGTTTGATCCTCGTCACGGAACTAAGATCCCACATGCCTCAAGGTGTGACCAAAACAGAAAAGGTTCAACCACAGTAGTAAAGCAAGAAATAAAAATGGAAACAATAATGAGATATCTTTTTGACAATCAAATTGACAGGTTTTAATGAGACGTGATACTCCGCTTTGAGCATTATAAGCCTATGGGGAAAGTTCATTCATACAAAAACAGTTTTAACAGAAGAAAGCATTTGAATGTGCATATTCTGTGACCCAGTATGTGCTCGTTTACGAATTTATCCTATTTAAATACTTCCATAAATTCTCAAAAGAAATATTCACAAACAAAATTGCTACAACATTATTTTTAAAAGTGAAAAACTAAAACTAACCCATACAATGAGATGCAAAGAAGCCATTAAAAATTAATGAAGTAGATCTACATATGACACAGAAATAATATTTACTGTGATATTTAATACAGTATTAAATTTAGAGAGCAAGTTCCAGCACACAGTGTACTGCAAAATTCCATTTAAAATTGAAACATTTATATATTATCTACTTATAGTTTTAGGAAAATCTAGGATATATACCCACTAGATTGAAAGAAAAGAGAAGGCTTTAGCAGAGATAGTCTTTAATGAGTGATAACTGTAATGGCTTTTCATGTTTTTCACATTATAGTTCTGTGGTTTTTTTTGGTTAGTTCAGTGAAATAAGCTTTTATTGCACTAAAAAAATTACTCAAGGGTTCTTTATCCTTGATGGGATCTAATCTACATGGAAATGATAGTGATTAGGGATTTGTTCTATCTTGATGGGAAAATCTGATTTTTTTTTTAAACTAATACAGGACAGATATACCCTAGCTTATGTTTTGTGGTTTATGTAGCTAATTTCCTGTGCTTTTAACAGTCCTGTCTTATTTAGAATATATTTTTTCCTTCTGGCAAAAGGGGTTAGCCTCAACTATATTTACAACCCCATTCACATTCAGGAGGGCCTGAAGATGGTGCCTTGTTCCCCTGCTCTCCTAGTTGTCTAAAAGAAAAAAATTATCTTGAGCCTTCTTGCCTGTGTACTGTTTCCTCTAATTCTTGTGTCATCCTTGGCTCCCCTCCTTAATACCATTTCTTCTTTGCTCATTTGATTACTGTTGGTCTTTTTAAGAAGCATACGTGGACACAAATGCAGGTCCTTCAGGAAGCCTTCCGTGACCTCTCCGAGTCTCAGTTAGGTACTGCCGCTGTAGCACCTTGCTTGCTGCTTCCTCCTGATTGTCCACTCAACACTGTCATGCATGCTTTCTAGCTCCTCTTCCAGACTAGGATGTCTTTGGGGTTAGCTGTATTTTCTGTCCTTATATCTAGTGCCTATCAGAGTGCCTACATGCAGTATAGTAAGTGCTGAATAATTGTTGAGCAGTAACTGGATTTTTGTAAGCCTGTCTGGTTCTTGTTAACCATTTGAACAATGAGATGAATCAGTAATAGTTCCTTGTGCTACCAGTTATCATATTCCAACTTCATTAGGTTCTCCTAATTTTCACATACACAAAAGGTCCTGCTTCCTGATTTTGAAGGAAAAAAAAAATTTTTTTTACTGGAGGCTTAAATTGAATAGCTACAATGAAGAACCTTATTAATAACATTTTAATATCATAATAGGCTGTTAACAAGTTGGCAGAAATAATGAATCGAAAGGACTTTAAAATCGATAGAAAGAAAGCAAATACACAGGATTTGAGAAAGAAAGAAAAAGAAAATCGAAAGCTCCAACTTGAACTCAACCAGGAAAGAGAGAAGTTCAACCAAATGGTAGTGAAACATCAAAAGGAGCTGAATGAAATGCAAGCGGTAAGTTTATGTGTATGCATTTGTTATTACTGTATATACCTAGCTATTTATCTTGTTTAGTTTGTTTAGTATAAAAAATGCATATTTAGGTTTATATTCTTCCCAGTTTGATTACTGTTACTCTAATATGAACCATGATCTTGACAAACTAGGAAAATACTCTATTAACTATAACTTGAGTAATTTTTACCCCTTAGCATCTGCTTGATTAGAAATGCTACTTTTGGAGAAACCACCAAGGGTTTTCCTCTGTATTGTTTACACTTTCATTTGGAACCATAAAAGCATTTTCTATTGTTTTAACAGGTGTTTGGGTTTGGTTTTTAATGCTTTATGTTTTAGAAGAAAAAAAAACAAAATACTTTTTTTAAAGCAAAGAGAAAAGGAGCTTATGCACGCAGTGTATTACTGAGGAAGAGAACTTGCATTTTTATAGTTGTATTACAATCTGTGGTAGTAAACATTCATGAAGTTCATAGTCAGTTTTTAGTATTAGCAATTCTAGGTTACTTATTATATAATTCCACTGATTCTTAGTTTCTAATGTTGGAGATTTGAACTTAATTCTTTATATTATCTTGGTACTTTTTTATTTTTTAAATAGCAATTGGTAGAAGAATGTACACATAAGAATGAGCTTCAGATGCAGTTGGCCAGCAAAGAGAGTGACATTGAGCAGCTGCGTGCCAAACTTTTGGACCTTTCAGATTCTACAAGTGTTGCTAGTTTTCCCAGTGCTGATGAAACTGATGGAAATCTTCCAGGTAAGAATAATTTCTGTTACTTCATTCAAGCTTGCTAAAACATCATGGGAATTAATATAGATTTCTTTTATTTGGATTTCTAACTGTCATTTTGTCCATGAATTCTTAAGAAGGAATTTATGTTTCTGATGGCCCAGAGTCTGATATTTGCATACTTAGTGCATTTTATAGCATAAAAGCAGTCATAAACAATCTTAGGCTCTTAAAATAGATCTGAATGGCTCTTCTTAAATAGAAACCTGAAGTTTATGAATCAGTATTGAGCAGCCCATCCCTATGGTGAAAGTCAAAACTGCTACTACAACTCTCAGTGTTTAAGGAAAATTGTACATGTTTTTATGTGTAGCAGCTGTTTAGTGTTTTATGTATTTTTGTGCTGAAACTAAGAACTGTACTTAATAATCAGAAACATAGAGGCGCTATATAGAAACCTGCCTAGTGCTATAGTGTTAAACTTCAACCAGACCTAAAGTTTCAAATTTGGAGAAATAGATAAAAGCAGTTGGGAAGTGCAGAGAGGTGGCAGGGAGTGAAGTAAACTCAAAAGTGAGGAGCTAGGATGTCAGACTTTTTCTTCTTTTTCCTTTTTTTTTCCCAGTGGAGAATCAGTTGAAAAATAAAATACTGCCTCATGTTTTGATACATTGTAGTGTGGATTAGAGTACATTTCTGTCTTTGTTTAACAGAGATGAGCAGTACATATGATGCAGGTTCAATTTAGAAATGAATAAGTTATAAATATTAAATCATGCATTATGAATTTTAAAGGCATACATATACACACAGACACACACATTTAATGTACTACATATTCTTAGTTCAAGGTCTTGAGAGTTTTAAGTGGTCTTAAACTTGAAGTAGATTTTAATTAATGTATTTCCTGAATAATTCATGAAAAGAAAGATACAGAACACCACATTTGATATGATAAGGATCTGTGTTAACAGATATTACTTTTTGTTGTTGTTGTTGAGAATTTGAAATAAGAAACTTGATAGACTACCTAGAAAATTTCATGTTATTGTTCTTAGTCAAGAAAGTGAAACTCAAAATAGGAAGTGAATTCACTTCTGATATGTATTCTATGTAATAGTCATTCTTTTGTGGCTTTGCTATCCCAAAATGAGATATCTGGAAAGGGAAGGGCAGGGAATAAATATTTCTTACTACAATGATCAAAAAATTCATTCTGTTTTCCCATTTTTGGCTCTCTGAAACCTCCAAGAGAAGCCTCTTGAAAATCTTGTAGCTTCACTTCCTTATCAGAGGATCACTTGAAGTTAATAAGAATCTCTAGCTTCAGCTGTTGTTTGAGCATCATTGTAAAGTTATGACCCAGTCATCAGTTAAGAAAGAGTGTGACGTGGGAATTCCTGGCGGTTCAGTGGTAAGGGCTTTGTGTTCTCCCTGGAGAGGTCCTGCGTTCAAAATTTTTTTGTCTTTATTCCATCCATTTCCCTTCAGCTTTGTTTATAATGTCTTACTATGTATGCCTTGGTTTTCTTTGTATTAGGTTAAACATTTCAGAGACTGACTTGGTGAATACTGTCTTAGAGGATTTGAATTGAGAAATGAGTTTGGGGGAAGGTAATGAGTTTTATTTCATCCTGGCTTATTCAGGAAGGCTAAACTCGAAGTATCATCAGGTGGTTTGACTGGCAAATTTAGGTGAGGTATCCATTTAGATTTCAGAATCCTGATCTAATAAGCCCATTCAGGAGGTATCAGTCAGCAAATAAATTTTTAAATGGTTCTACTGGTTCCATTCTGAGTATATTACTTAGTATAGCTGTGTATTTTCAAAGATTTTTGCTTTTTAAGATTTTCAAAGTTCAAGTGGAGGGAAAAAAAAGGTGCTGGTGGCCATTCTCCATTTACCAGTCTGGGTATCTCTCTATTACTGTGTTCTGAATTTGAAATTTTACAGAGGTCTCTACAGTGCTGCACCTTTTCATGTCAGAGGCTGTGACTTTCATATTGGAGGTAGAAATTAATGGCTAATTATTATCAAAGTTACTTTACCTCGGTATCAGATACCTTATTGCTTGCCGCTGCTGCTGCTAAGTCGCTTCAGTTGTGTCCGACTCTGTGCGACCCCATAGACAGCAGCCCACCAGGCTCCCCTGTCCCTGGGATTCTCCAGGCAAGAATGTTGGAGTGGGTTGCCGTTTCCTTCTCCAATGCATGAAAGTGAAAAATGAAAGTGAAGTCGCTCAGTCGTGTCCGGCTCCTAGCGACCCCATGGACTGCAGCCTGCCAGGTTCCTTCGTCCATGAGATTTTCCAGGCAAGAGTACTAGTAAATTGAAAATCTGTATTAAGTCCTGTCATTTACTAGACCTCTGGCCAATAAAAGTTAAGTCTTTGCGGTCATATCTAGAAAGAAATGTAAAAAGTTTTGGCATTCATTCTTAATTTGAGAGTTACCTATCATTCACATGTCTGAAAGATATTTTGAAGGTAATGATTAATTTTATTTAGTTTGGAAGACTGATCAATGATTGGAGATAATCAGTACATCTGAATTCTTGAGCATTGGTTGATTTTTTTTTTAATCACTTCTCAATTTAAATTTTTTGGAATGGTTCTCTAGCTGTGTCTCTTAAGCAATATGCAGTTTATCCAAGTAAACTTTGGTAGTCTTCAGAGATTCACCTTGATGTTTGAATTGGCTATATTTGATAACTGATTTACACCTCTTACTTAGGTTATCCTCTTTCTTATATGAGTTACATATAATTAAGTCTTAAAGGAGTTAATTGCTGATATTGCAATAATACATATCTAAATTTTTTTTAAGTTCAAATTGCTCTACAAATAAATGAAACCTGGGACCAAGGTTTTTTTTGTACTTCTTTAGTATGTTATTGATAATAATCTAGACTTAGAAGTCCGCAACATTTATTTATCTGGAGACACTGGTTTCTGTTTGTATTATAAAAGAATTTAGAATATTATACTTTCAGGTTGCCACTTAGGTCACAGGTGGTCATAGTTTTAAAGGAGGTCCTTACATACTAAAAAAATTTTTGAAGAACTGAATAAAAAACTGGTATATGAAGTTGCATATAAGACAAGAGTAAGTAATTTTTTTTAATCACTTAGTTTGGTTTACCTGCTTCTCTGAAGGGAATTCACTGAAAGGAAAGACTAAAATTCTGTTATAACATTATTGTCAAAAACCAGTTTTAAATTGGCAAAAACCTTCATATATCTTCACCTTTTTTGAGTTTCTGAATTCTTCATTTTATTTCAATTAGGGCAGATATGAAATTGGGCTCATTCAATTCATAAAATGCCTTTGGTGTATAAAATTTCTATAGGAATACTGAAATGGCACCATACAACAATTCATTGAAAATTTCAGTCAGTATATTCAAAGAAAACACTGGCAAATTAATCCAAACTTAGAACCAGAAAGCTTAGCTATTTCTGGCACTTATTCTCGTAGAGAAATAGCTTGGAAGGAGGATATTTTGGCATACACTCTTTTGTATAAATGTCAGGATTTCCATGGCTTTTAATGTCTCATTTTTGGTGAGGAATTACTGGTCTGAAGTGGACTTTGGCACACCCAAGGGAGCCTTTCCTTTTGTAAAAGTGAGAATGTGGATGGTCAGCAGCCTTCTGTATGTGTTGAAGAGAAATTAGCCCTGTGGTTTTTAGATTACAACCATTATTTAAATAGAGGGGAGTTTACTTGGCTAATTAAGAAAGAAAGAACTGCAGAATAATAATTTTTTAAAAGGTGTATCAGGTACCTACTCTTGTGTGTCAGATGCCTCGGGGTGTGTGTGTGTGTGTGTGTATATATATATATATATATATATATTTCTTTTCAAAGTGTTAGGATATGGTACCCTGCTCTCAAACTTCCCATGGAACTGCCTAATGGGACAGATTAATTATTGATGAACAAAATAATAATGCCAACTAAGAAAAAAGTTGGGAGAAGAGGATCTCTTTGAATTGAAGTTTCTCATTATTTCTTTCACTTTAACAACTAAATGAAGGAGAATAACAAAATCAAAGGCCATTAGGTACATGGAAGAAGCTGGAACAAGATCATCACTCCTGATTCAGTTAACTGCAAAGCTTGTCTAAGGAAAGATTAGCACTGTGCTCTTGGAATTGAAACTCAGAATTAGATTGCCTGGGTGAACCCTGGAGCTTTGCCAGTTGCTAGGCTTACCCTAGGGCGTCAGTTCACCTTGCTAAGCCTTTAGTATCTTCGTTTGTAAATGGAGGATAGGAGGACCCATCTTATCTTATATTCCTGAGAATGTAATATCCTATGTTCATGAGGTTATACATAGATTATATATGAGGTATTACTTGCACTTGATAAATAATAAATATATAGTAAATGTTACCTCTTACCATTACTTTAAGATCAAACTGTTTTACAACTTTTAAGTTCCACAGAGGAAGGTAATATATATTCCCCTTAGGGTCATGATTTAAACAGTGGTATAATGGCACATTATAGTATTGTACCTTAAAGTTGGTTGCTTTTCTTCTGTGTTTCAAATATAATAGATCCAAAAGCACAATTATGGTCTTATCTCTCACCTGATATAAAATAATAATTTCTAAATTTAATCATAAACATTAATTATTTAGTATGTATTTAATATATTTAAATGTTAATGATAATTATAAAATGCCTTGATTGAATTAGTCAAAGAGTTTCTGGTGGGCACAAACTGGTATTAGCAGTTTTACCTGCTGAATTCTGTGTTCTTTTACTGTTTATTCTGATACTACAAACTTCAAAGGCTTTATACATCTTTAGTTTGCTAAGAGTTGTAATTGGACTTACCACTAGAATTAGGGAACCCCTCCCCAACCAAATTTAGACACTTTTAATGAAATTGTTATAGATGTTTTACCAGAAAGTTTATCAGAATATTGTACTGAGAAAACAAATAAAATGCTTGTCTCTTATTCTTTATATCTAGTTGGTTCTGCCTGCATTCCTTATTTATTTATCTTCTATTCTTATCTTCTGTGAGTAATAGGACACTTCTGTACTTTTGCTTGCTCTTTCTCGTGTAAATCATGGCTCTGACTTGTTCCACTTGCTGCATTTTTTTTTTTTTTGCCTCAGTACTTTTATATCAATGTTAAATGATATTTAAAGTCTTCTGTATCATATCCCATTTAAGCTGCAATCCATTCCAGTCTTGCCTGGCTGTTAAGGGTATTGTCATTATTTCATACTTTTATGATTGGGTACTGAAAGTTAATTTTAAGGGGAAAGTGGCTTGGAATTTTTTTCTGCAATTTTTGTATGGCCATTAAAATTGATTTGTGTGATTGAAGCATGAAAGAGCAGATTTTAGCACTTATTCATGTAGCCGTGTTCCAATGCCTGCTGCTGCATGCTGTCAGACAGCTTGTAATAGCTTTTCCTTTTGTGACAGAATACTATGTATTTTTTTCCTTCTAGAATCAAGAATTGAAGGTTGGCTTTCAATACCAAATAGAGGAAATATCAAAAGATATGGCTGGAAGAAACAGGTACTATATAAGTCATTTTTTCTAGTTGATATTTTGTTGTACATTTTATTTTTAAATCATAGAACTTATATTAATTGTCATTGTTTTTAGATTTGATACAATATAATCTAGACATAAAAGGCAAGTATTATACTTACCACTTTAAACCAAGTTAATACTGCTGTTTTCTCTTCTTGTTTTTTTCATTTTAGTATGTTGTGGTAAGCAGCAAAAAAATTTTGTTCTATAATGATGAACAAGATAAGGAACAATCCAATCCATCTATGGTATTGGACATTGAGTAAGTTGCCTTTTATTCCATCTTAAGTCTGTTGAGTGTTAAATTACTTTTAGACTTACCATTTAGTTTATATTTTGTTATTTAAACTATGTTATAAACTTCTTTTCCCTAACAAATTCAAATAACAGCTTTATATTAAATCCTACTTTTATCAAAATATGAGAGAGAAAATATTGCATACCTGATTGATGTATTCGAAAAGCATTTCTTGTAAATGTCAAGTACTGATTGGTATTACATTCATAGAACATCTCAAAAAGTATATAATTATGTTGGTCGTTAATGATAGGTCAAAGAGGCCCCAGCTAAAACACGGAGAAGTTCCAGCACGGGGATCCCTCACTGCCCTGTTGTGGCCATGTGAAGCATCCTTCTGTGCGCCCCTCTAATCCTTGGCAGCCACTAATCTGTCCTCCATTGGTGTAGTTTTGTCACTTCAAGGATGTTATATAAATGGAATCATAAACAGTGTGTAACATTTGAGATTAGCTTTTTCACTCAGTGTAGTTCCCTTGAAGTCCATCCAAGATGTTGTTTTTTTCTTTTCATGATTGAGTGTTTTGTTGTATGAATATATCAAGAGTTTGCTTAACCATTTATTTGAGTTTTTGCTAATTTTGGCCTATTAAAAATAAAGCTTCTTTGAACATTCATGTACCAGTTTTCATACAGATTTGTAAGAAATTGCCATACTCTTTTTCCAGAGTGGCTCTGTAGTTTTATGTTTCTGCCACAGTTGTATGAATGATCTAGTTTCTCTGCATCACCACTAGCATTTGGTTTTATTACTATCTTTCTTTTAAAAAGTCTGATAAGTGTATAGTGAAACTTACTCTGATTTTAATTTACATTTCTCTAATAACTAACCTTTTCCTAAGCTTATCTGCCACCTCTGTGTTCTCTTCAGTGAAATACCTGCTTTTGTCTTTTACTGTAAATGTGTTTTTATAATTGCCTACATCTTATTTCTTTTCATTTTAGTAAATTGTTTCATGTTCGTCCTGTAACACAAGGAGATGTGTACAGAGCTGAAACTGAAGAAATTCCTAAAATATTCCAGGTAAAAATCTGAAGTTCTAATTGTAGAAGACCCTTTACCTAATTAATAAGTGTATTTGTGAAGTAAACGTAAATACATCAATACTTTTATACATTTGAAGCTTGTATGTGCAGATCCAGACTTTTTTAATCTTCTGTTTACCATTTCTGAATGTAGATACTATATGCAAATGAAGGTGAATGTAGAAAAGACTTAGAGGTGGAACCAGTACAACAAGCTGAAAAAACAAATTTTCAAAACCACAAAGGCCATGAGTTCATTCCTACACTCTACCACTTTCCCGCCAACTGTGAGGCCTGTGCCAAACCTCTCTGGCATGTTTTTAAGCCACCCCCTGCCCTGGAGTGTCGAAGATGCCATGTTAAGTGCCACAGAGACCACATAGATAAGAAAGAGGACTTGATTTCTCCATGTAAAGGTAAGGCATGGAAGTGATTCTTACACCACTTAATAAGACTACTTCTTCAAGTGTAGCGCTTCCCTGTAACAAGTTGAAAAGAGATAATAAGATGTAATATTTTGGCACTGGTGGAGCCACATATATATTTCTGATTCTACTTTATTTTTACTAGGTTATGACTAATGTTTTCTCTTTAAATTTTCTGACTTAATTAAAAAGAGAAGATACTGTCCAAGCTTAATTAAGCATAGTAAATCTTTTCAAATTGTTAAGAACCTTTGAGAGGGCTCCTTTAAGTATTATGTGACTTTGATTGTGCTCTTTTTTCTTAAAATAGTAAGTTATGATGTAACATCAGCAAGAGATATGCTGCTACTAGCGTGTTCTCAGGATGAACAAAAAAAATGGGTAACTCATTTAATAAAGAAGATCCCTAAGAATCCACCATCTGGTTTTGTGCGTGCGTCCCCTCGGACACTTTCTACAAGGTCCACTGCAAATCAGTCTTTCCGGAAAGTGGTCAAAAATACATCTGGAAAAGCTAGGTAAGGATTGAAGTGTTAACCTTTCTCACACTAAGTGACTGGATAATAGCTATCAAAACCCAAAATCAAATTGTTCTTTTCTCTGTAAAAGGCATCATTTGTAACAAAGTTGGATCTTTATATATGACTTAAAATGACTTTACAAAGTAGTTTAACTGATTCCTGTTTAAAGCTCAGAATATTTATAAATATCGTATTTATTTAGTTCCATGTCAGGTTTTATTGTAATTGGTCGTGTTATACATGGTAGATATTTTACCCTTAATGTTTTAAGCAAGTGTTCATCCCTTTTTAATATAAATAGGTTCATGTGAAACTTTGCTCATCTTATTTTTAGCTATGTTAGCATAAATTTTTAAAAAATCAAAATTATTTGACATCACTGTTACAAATAAACTTTTCAGTTAAGTACCCTTTTTTTCTTTGGGGGAGGGTAGTTTAACTGCTTTCGAGAAAAATTTTTTTTAAAGTTTATATGGTAAAATGAACAATTGCAGGGCATAATTAAACCCTTTCTTGAGAAGTGGCTATGCTATCTTCAAAGTTCTCTAATGCATGGAACCTTGGGACTCAGAGAAATTAAGCAGCTTGCACAGATCACACAGCCAATTTGTGGCATAGTCATTGGAACCCATTTTTATCTGTTTCTAAGCCTGTTTTTTCTCCTATACCAAATACCAACTTTCCCTAGAGTGTTAACCCTCTACTGAGAGGGATATTTGAGTCTAGAACTGATTTGTCTCTGCTAATGTCACCCAACTCTTCCAAGCAGGCTTAAAAACCCTCTTTAAATTTCCTTTTTTCCATTATAATAGCCATCTTTATTTGTAAAAATCCAGATGTAAAATGTATTCTTTCAGTCTTTCCAAGTTTTCCATTTTACAAAAACAAAAAGGCACATAAAAACCTTCCCCACGGTCGTTTCCACAGATGGATGTTTCTTGGGCAGCCCTCCCCCCACCTGACCCCCCCCTCCAAAAACCCTCTTTAATTTATCCTGTTTCTTTCATTCTGTATTATCAGTAACCAAGTATAATTCTTTGGATTGACTCACATCCATTCCTCCTTCTGTATTCCTCAGCTGCCATACTGTTCCAGTGCTTTATTACCTCACTCTGGTCTTCTTTGTGTAGAACCCTGTATCAGCCTCTCCTGTACAGGATAAAAGCTGAATAAATCTAAAGTACTTACAATTGGTTTACAGCTTTGCAGGGAGAATATTGTGTTTGAAACAGTAGAAGCAGAAAGGAGATAATGGTGTATTTTTTCCCTTTTCCTGTTTGCCAAATTTTGTGTATTAATTATTATATATAATGTATATGTACATTTCAAGTTTTGTTTTTGTATTTATCAGCTGAGCACATTACTTACAATTTTTATTTTTTTTCCCCCTTCAACAGTTAACCACGTGACCTAGTACCTTGTGGAATTGTATGGGATGCTACCTGATGAAGCAGGCATCTCTAACCATGCAGAGCAGACAGGCTGTTCCTTTGACACAAATATCACAGGCTTCAGGGTTAAGATTGCTGTTATTCTGTCCTTGCTTTGGCACAAAAGCACACTGAGGATTGTTTGTTTTGTTTTTTTGTTTTTTTATTGCGGGTTTGCCTATAGGTAGATTAGATTAATTATTACTATGTAATGCAAGTACAATTGAGGGAAAGCTTAGCTAGATATATTTTTTTAAAAAGGTGCTGCCTTTTTGAATTTCTAAGAAAACGCCTGTCAATCATGATAGAACACAGTTTTCCTCATACCAGTGAGAGGAAGAGACTTTCACTTTCAAGTGGAATGGCTGTCACTATCAAGATCAGCTCATGGAAGGAGTAAAGAAAATATCTCAAAATGAGACAACTGAAAGTTTTTTTAAAAAATAACTTCAGTTTTCGTGCTCTTGCAAGACTATACAAAACTATTTTAAGAAAGCAGTGATATCACTTGACTTCAGTGCCCTCACTGTAGAATTTAAAAACCTTACTGTTGATTGCCCATGGTGGACTTGATGGAAAATAAATATCTTACATTATGCTTTACAAAATACTGTATGTGTTTCAGCAAGTTTGTAGATTGGGGAATGGGAGAAGGCAAAAAAAAAAAAATTTACATTTAATCTATGCATTTTTGCCAAGCCATATTGAGTTATTTTTACTACTAGAGACAGTAGGAACTAACTGTACAAAAGAACCAAGTTTAAAAGCATTTTGTGGGGTACATCATTTCTGTAATTGTATAATGTGTTTCTTTGTGGTTTTAAGTGATAAAGACATTAAGTTAACAAACATATAAGAAATGTATGCACTGTTTGAAATGTAAATTATTCTTAGAACACCGTCAATGGGAGTTGCATTGCCCTTTTAGTGCCTTAATTTGAGAGAATTATTTTACTGCCATGACTATAAAAATTTCAAAAAACATTTTCAAAAAATTATGTGTCCAGGGGGTTTTTCATTGATAATTGGTTTAATTTAAAATATTTAGAGGTTTGTTGGACTTTGATAAATTGATACAATCTTTGCATCAAACTACCTGCTTAAATAGTGAATGACTTTATAAAACTCAGCACAAATACATAGAGGGTTGCACCCAGTATAAAAGAAAATTATGGCAATACATCTGTGATGTTTTCCAGTTAACATAGGAATTACCAGATAAATACTGTTAAACTCTTGTTCAATAACAAGAGTTGATTCATATGGGCAGTATGACTTATTGTTTATATTTTTAACCAAATACCTCCTCAGTAATTTATAATGGCTTTGCAGTAACGTCTATCAGATAAGAAGCACTGGAAAACTGATTCGTCTCTAGGATGATATGCATGTTTCAAGTGGTATTAAAAGCCGCACTGATGGATATGTAATAATAAACATATCTGTTATTAATATGCTAATGACTCTGTGCTCATTTAATGAGAAATAAAAGTAATTTATGGATGGAGACCTTTAATAATGACTGCTATGGTGTTTTCTCATGGCTAAGATGAATAGAAACCATGCTATAAATTAGTCCCTGACTGCGTACAAATGTTTGTAAAATCTCATGACTAGATTAAAGTGAATTTTTAAAAGATAAAACTGGTTTGTGCTGTAAAATAAGAGTGGCTACAATTGAAATGAAAAGTTGGCTAATGTCTGTTAGAAACAATTCTCCGTGAGTCTCTAAGTTTCTCACATCGGGAGAGTGGAAGCTTTGACAGCCTTTGTTTGTTATACACTGTCTTTGTCAAGGAGATTTATATAGTGAATAGCCTTGGGAGATACTGTGTTTCCATCATGGAGAAGGCAGGTTTGTTTACTGTTGTATAATAAACATAATGTTTCTCCCCGGGGCAAAAGTTGGGCAGAGTTGCTTATTATAAAAGATTCGGGTAGCCTAAACTTTGGACTCCTCAGCTGTGATGCAAACCCACCCCACTGCATGCTCAGCAACCCCCTGGACCACTCTGCATCACCCCTGTGGCACTCAGAGGGCAAGGGGAACTGATGGGAACTTGAAACTTGTGCTGCTTGCTGTGCTGTTAAGTGTAAAGTCATTTGGCTTCAACCCAGGATCCATGAAGTGATGGTAGGGCTGACTTGTAGCATGCAAGTGAACCTCAGATCTGTCACAGTTCTGGACAGTGTCCTTACCAGCCCCTCAGAACCATCACCATCACCTCAATGTAGTATGTCCAATGTAATAAGGTCCAGTAGAGTGCAGAGAACACAGTGAATTCTATGTATTTGAGAGGACTTTTGGAAAAAAAAAACAAAATATTAACTTGAGCATAAAATTACTGAGAACTGACAGTTTTCAGCAATGACTTCAAATGCCACATTGCAAAACCAGGTCAACCAAGAGAGTTAACTTCTTTTCTAAGCTCAGGAATTCACTCAATCCTAAAGTGCACCAACATGATGAAGGTCAAGGGAGTGTCGTGGTCAGGAGAACACCGCCCTGCTAGTGCTTTGCAGTACCTTGCCCTGCCTGCTGCTTGTCTTCAGGGGATCTTCCTGATCCAGGATTGAATCCACGTCTCCTGTATCTCCTGCATTGCAGGTGGATTCTTTACTGCTGAGCCTTTGGGGAAGCCCAGAAGTATAGCAATCACAGTGAAAAGCCTAATCGTTCCTAGGACCTGGGAAATCCTCTTACTGCTGGAGTCATGCCCATCCTTGAGCCTATTCCTGTGTGTAGAGGGTGTTCCTAACCAAACCTGGGTCCACCAGCCCCATACACAGCAAGGCAATCTGCTGACCCTGGGTTGTAAGGAAGGGAAGTACAGTACTGATTGCAGGGCCAAGTGAGAAAGCCTCACGCTTCCAATGGCTTTTACGGGTGGGTAAAGACTGAGGGACTGTGTCAGGGTGTGTGATGAACTTGTGCACAATTTTTTTTTTTTTTGCACAGTTCTTGACTGGTTGATGGTGATGGTACTAGGGTGATGTTTTGGGAATCTCAGCCTTCTGGTTCTGATTGCATTGGGTCTATATACTGGTGGTCAGCATGCAGTTAACTTTCTCTGTTTTGGTGGTGATTTAGTCACTGAGTTGTGTCTGAGCCTTTGGGCCATATGGACCATAGCCCGCCAGGCTCCTCTGTCCATGGGATTTCCCAGGCAAGAATACTGGAGTGTGTTGCCATTTCCTTCTTCAGGATCTTCTTGACCCAGGGATCAAACCCATCTTCTGCATTGGCAGGAGGATTCTTTACAGACTGAGTCATCAGGGAAGCCCAGGGGTTTTAGTATCTGCAAAACAAATCAAGGATACAGGATGAGGGACATGTACACCATGGCTGACATGTCAATGTATGGCAAAAAACCACTACAATATTGTAATTAGCCTCTGATTAAAATAATTAATTTTAAAAAATCAAGGCTATAGTTCAGGATATTACCTAGAGCCCTTGAGGGGAAACTAAAGCTCCTTGACTTTTATAGCTAAACTATTGTTACTTCATCTCCTAGACTGTTTTTCCTTTGTCTCTGCATTTTTTTCACTGATTGAATTTGCTCTTTGG